TCACTTTATTGCTTATGCAGATTCATATCGTAAATTTCATCTGTGTTAAAAATTAGACATTTCTAAATGATTCATGTTCCAATTCATGATGCGGTTTTGGTTTGATATGTGGAAATAGTAGATTCACGCATATCCATCTCTATTTTTGCTCAACCAAAGCGAAAACATTCTTTTCGAAAGAAATGGAAAAGAAAAATAAAATATTGCAGAAAAAAAAAAGATAAATTAAATCTGAGAGGGGTTGCAACAAATTCTGGAAGCTGCCCAGCGCGCCGGACGGGTGAGGTTTCCTGCCCTGACAACTGACAAGTCCCAAACGTTGACGTTTTTTAATATTGGAAAATGGGAAGAATATTCAGGTACTTTAAGGAGCACCCTGCACTTCTACGTACAGTATAGCTGCAGCTCTGCCACGTGTAACCTTCCAATGATTCAGATCAGCTCCTCTCCAAAATTTTACTATAAGAAATGCCTACAAACATAAATAATCCTCCCGTTTAAATTTTCGATTTAGTATAAATTATCTAAAGAAAAATGTAAATTATACTTACTAGACCATCATTTTAAGACAATCGAGTATACAAAAAATTTTTCTTGGCAGAATTTCAATTTCATTACTAGAAGTATAATAATAATAAAATCGGTCCAATTAAATACCCAAGAAAAATTATTTTTGTCATATATATGTTGAAAAGACAAAAATAATATATATAATTTTCTTGGATATATATATATTACACTCGTTACTGATAATCAAAATTCATTTCGGACTATATTAACAGCCAAACTATGAACATTATAATACTGGTACGTTCTGAAGTGTCTAATAATCAAATTCCAACATAGTTTCAGAACCCATATCTCTCCCACGATTCAAAAAATTAATCCAAGCAAACGGTTGGGTGGTTGCCAAGCGGCTGCCCATGCTATGCATGCATGGAGCTAACTACGAATTTCGGACTCAAGATTAATTTATTCTGAGGTTAGATCAAGATAATATTTGAAATTGTTGACGTTAATATTGTGTTTTTATTATTCCAAAATTACTATCTATTTTTTTTATGAAAATAATATTTTGAAGCGGAGTAAATACGTAAGATACAATTTGGGTGTCAATTTTCTCATCCGACCAATATGTTCACAATCGAATATCATGTGAAGGAAACATAAAAATGATTCAACAACCAAGTAAGCCAAAGTAGCTCCAAACTAGTCTTATTCTTTGGGCAGAATAAAAGAAAGAAAATTGTCAATGGTTTGAACGGTCCAGCGTTTTTACGAGTCCATATCACTGTCAAGCAGCGCATCTCTCGCCCATTTTGCCGCCAAATTATGGGGCATGTTTTGTTTATTTAATTTCCCTATCACGTAATTGTATTTGTTTGATTTTATAAAACAATAAGATAAGAAAAAGGGGCAAGTGTCATGTTTTTTCATCCCCTAAAGCAATCATTTTTATTTTATTTATTTCAAAATATAATCGACAAGTACTTCACTCCCATAGGGATTCAAAATTTCAAATGTCCATTGGAAGGAAAACAGAAATGAATATAACTTCCTACAATTTGTTTCAATGGACATTTTAAATTTATGTATTTCTAAGAAAAATTAAAACTAGAGTTACGATTTAAGAATAAAGTAAAAAATGATTTTGGTCCTGATAAGTGATAGTAGAAAAGGTTCATTTCATGAATTTATTTCGGGTCAACAATATAGATGGGTTGGTGGAAAGGAGGCAACAAAGGAAATGGATATTTTCTCACCAGTTTAGTCTCTAGTGGTGTGTGGAAAACGTTTTTCTTGGCAGAGCCAGAATTGCAATGTTATTATGAGCAAAAATGAAAAACAATTATAATAATAAACTTAAAAGTGTACCATTCCTGCTAATCTTATTTGTAATGCATAATTTTGAACTGTCTTGAGAAGATGGGTTTGTATAGAACCTAAAATTTTTGTTGCAAATCCAAATTTTTATGAAGCAGTCATGTTCGAAAGTAACTCTTAGCCCCTCAACAATTTGATAGGTTCTTTTTTTTTTTTGTAGTAAATATAGTTGATTCAACAAAATGCTAAAGAACGGGTGTTTACGCAGATCCAACAAATTATCGAATTAAGACACTAACACAGTAATTTTGATAGATTATAAAATTTTCACTATTACATGATGATTTTGTTGTTCTATAATTTTAAGACGGAAGAAATATTTTTTTTAACCTATGCTCAGATCGCAAGTTCGTCACTTAATTCTCAAACCTAAGTGAAGAATTACTTGTATGGCATCTAAATGAATAATAGATTTAAAATACACACACATGAGCACACACGATTAGACAAAATTTAAGGTTATCGTGTTCCAGTCATTTGCAAAACACGAGCACAAATTGAAAACCCACATGCAATCCAAAGGTTCAAAAGCTATAAAAAGTTCAAACCTTCAAATGCTTCTACTAAAATCCAAAGAATTTTGGAACATAATGCCAAACTTACATAAGAAGAAGTAATCAATAAATGACCAAGAACAAGCATCATAGATAAACGAACGTTGTTTCTTGGACATTTCCTAATGAAATCATTTGTATCTTTCTTAATCGCTCTAATTATTCTAATCTCATCCCGTGATGACGATAATAATTAACATGAGTTTCGTTTTTAAAATCAGAATAGAAATTTGTCGGGTTTTTGGTTTTCTTGGTCGTGGAAACCTCACCGACAAGGCACGTGCAACGCCGCCATGCCGACGAGTTCCTTTTTCTTTTGGGTTAAACATAGCACCGCTGGAGAAAATGGCAACACATCTTACCAAATTTCTCTAAGTGATGACATCGTACAATAACGTAAGAAGACGACATGTACTAACAATTTTATTTTATTTTTTCTTTGGATAGAAAAAAGGAGACAAAAGCGTAGAGATCATACTACAATAGACGCAAATAAGAAACTTTGATAATATCGTGTTCTAGCCACAGTTTAGTTCCTAAAGGGGATTCATCTAAAACCAACAATTTTATAACAACAAATTAATTTGACACTCTTAAGTAGGTTTATAAAAACATGATAATTTGATCAATACTACTCGTCTAAAAGTATATATGCGACATATATAAGTAACATTACTGATTAGTTATTATTATTATTATTATTTATGTCTTACAATTAATTTTATGTTTGGATTTTTTTTTTCACTTTAGTATAATTTGAACTAAAAATAAAAATTCAAACAAGATAATAATTTTTGAATGGGTGGATATAATATTACAACCCGATTAATAGTATATCGTTCTTGGGTAACCTCACGTCCTCACCACTTGATAATGCTAATGGGAAATGAATTCTTATCATTCCCATCCTTGTACGTGAAAACTACAAGGGATAAATGAATAAAAAGGGCAATTGGCAAGTAAAATATCAGTATTTTGTGTATTTGTGGCATCATCTTGTGGGGATTGCGAACAATTAATTAACTATATGTGTCGACGGATGTGCTTTGTTTGAATTCTACAGGCATGTAGTATGAACTATGAACGAACGAGTACTACAATATCAACAATGATCGAACGACCGCGCTCAATTTCAAAGCCTTCCCACTATAAACAATAGCCATTTGCTGTTTCCTTGTTCATCTATCCTCTTAATTAGGAGATACACGTCTCGCGTTACTAAAGATCTTGGACCCCTTTTCCGCGTTACTTTTGTACTAACCATTTTCAGCAAAGAGATTTCCAGGCTTCTTTTTGTCGGGTAAAAGTGTGGTTTTAAGTGGAGTAAGTTTTTCGGCCTCCATGACTTTTCTCGCATAGAACCACTCAGTAAAGTCCACTTTCTGTAATAATATTAAAAAGAGTTAAAATTATGTGCATGATGATGATGTGCGTATATATATATTTGTCGCATAGGGTGTCTATCATCATCTAATAAAAATAGTCCAATTTGAAAAATTAAAATCTAAAATTAGGATTACAAATAAAAAAATTAATATGACAAATTGAATAAAGTTTCATGAATATTTTAATAATAATTTTAAATTATACTAGTATCATAAGTTTAATTTTAAAATTTACATTCTAAAATTAAACTTTTTTTTTCAGACAGAAGATGTAGTAAAATTTTTGATGAATTGTAGCACTTCAGTGACTTATCTCTTTACTGAATGAATTAAGAATTGATAATTGGATAACTTTCCACATCCAAGACCGTAAGAAAGAACCCCATTTTTAGTTAAGATTCCACTTAACAGACCATTCGGCTGATGATGTCTTCATTTGCCAAACAATTTAAACGATTGATTGTGGTGACTGGACTAAGTTAGTAATGCATTAGGCCCAGGAGCCCAGTAGCCCAGCAGGCCCATGTTTGTAATTGATTTGCAGAATCTGCGCATTTTCATCAAAGCTTTCGCAGTTCGTTCAAATCCAGAACAGTGTATTCCATGAACACCGGAAAGAAAATCCAAGCTTTCAACCAAAGGGGTTGTGGTGGAGTGGTAAGAACTCTTCCACCCTTAACGAGGGTTCGAATTTTGTCATGGACACGGAGCAATTTTTAATCTTTTATTCAATTCTCCCAAGTCTCACCTATCGAGGTGTCTACCATGAGCGAGAAAATTAGTCACTGTTACCGACGGTGGATACCCTGCAACATGAAAAAAAAATGTTACCGTGGACACCCTGAAATATGAAAAAAAAAAAAAAAGAATCCAACCTTTCTGTTGATGAGATAACCCAAAACGAAGCCGAAGAGGATCGAATCAGCGATTTGCCCAACACAATTCCATGTAAATGTTTTGTTATTTTTCCCAACAAAACATGCCGCGGGCACATCTAATCGGTTCACCTTTGACCCCCAAATCTTGAATTTGGAGTTTAACGATTTATTACTTCTGAATCCCTTGGAGAAAGGAAAAAGATGAATGTTTAAATTAACTAGTATATAATGTACCATAAAAAAATGACCATATTGGTTTAATGGTAAAACCATTGTTGCTCTCAAGAGGAGCAGGAGCCATGAGTTCAAACCCTAAGGGAAAAAAGGAGAGGAGAAGTGGCGCAGTGATTCTGGAGGCTGAGAGTCGCGAGCATCAGCCTCTTTATCGAAAAGGAAAGGTGGTAAAAGAAGCTACGGATACTTTTGAATTTTCTTTTCTTGTTCGAATTAGGGTTCGCATTGCCGTTTGGATCACTAGTTTTTTTTTTAAAAAAAATTTGAAATGGTACCTGAATATTAATGAGAAGTACCTAAACTATTACAATACATCCATTATATGTTTAGATTATGTAATTCTCTTACATATTCTAGTCGAAGGATGTTAGTCCACCATATCGTCTGATTTTTCCTTTCATTTTTCGTGGAATTTTAGCTTGATCAAGGGTTCCCTGGGAAAGAAAAGAAGAGGAGAACTGGAGCTTCCATCAAGGCTCCCTCCCTCAATGGAAAGGAGGTAAAAGGAACTGTATATGGACGCTTTTAAATTTCATTTCTCCATGGAGAGCTAGGGTTCATTTTGCTGTTTGGTTCCCTGATTGAAGTCTTCCTTGTCTATCTTTTTTGTGATATTAGTTGAAGGCAAAGAATCCATATCGTCTGATTATTTATTTATTTTTTTTTTGGGCTTGTGATACAGGGGCAAAGTATACCCCTTAAACACTCCCACTCCTGTAAACCCTCATCTAATATGGACAAAAAGGTAACATCTGGTTCTCTTTGATTCTTTTTTCTTTAAAATATGGGTTTGTTGCCCTTAAGCATAAGGTGTTGAATCTCCAAAATGTATTTTACCAGAGCCAGATAATTATGCTTAGTTGCCTAAACAATTTAGGCGAGAATAAATATAATTAAATAGGATTTGTTTAATTTATCCTGACCATTCTGTTTGTTTTGCTCTGTTTGAAGGCTATATCCTTCCGTCCCAGTCAAGCTGATCCCAGTCTCGCTGATCTCACTCCTGCTGAGCTCGAATCCGAAATCCAGTCTGGCAGAGTTTGTTTTTTGTTCTCCTCTTAATATACTTTTAAGCTCAATTATGGGGAAAGAGTTTACTTATTAATACTCCCTCTGTCTCAAAATTATTATTGTCCAGTTTGAGATTTCACTTTTAGTATAATTTGAACTAGAAATGAAAACTCAAATTGGACAATAATTATGGGACGGAGGGAGTACTTTTTTTACTTTCCTTCTGGGGTACTGGTTTTAGTTGGATTGGCTATTCCCTAGAGATAAAGGATACACAACAGTGGGTTTTGTTTTCCATGATGAGATTTTCTTGGCTGCTGATCATGGTGAGTTTGTTTACTTATGTTAACTATTCATGCATGTTTCATGATCTGATCTGAAGTATTTGCATCATCATCACTGACTCTCCCTATCTAATATTTTAGCAACCAAGTCGCATGCTTCAAACATTATCGAGCTCAGTTCTTGCATGCTTGCTGCAGTTTCCGTTTCCGGGGGTAGCGACTCTTTGCTCCATGATTTAAAAAATGAGGTACTTGCTGGTCTCCATTATGGAACTCCTACTGCTTTGCTTCAACCTCTTTAATAACAGTCGGTAATTCATTTTAACATTGCTTGCGTTCTTACATTGAAAGTTGGACGATTTATTACTCTCTTCTATTAAATGACAGTTCCAACTTATGAAAACAAACATGGGAAGACAAGTTCTGTTCTGGAAGCGTCAGAGTGGATGACCGTCTTTCTATCTTCTTACGGTGAGGAGGGTTTGTCAGTTGAAATGCTGATCGGAGGTGTGGAAGAGGTAATTGCTTGATCACTATCTTCTTTATTCTGTGCCGAAGCTTTTGCTTCTGGTTATTCCCTTGTATCAGTCTTCTTGGTTTATGTTTCTCATGTAGGATGGTCCTGTGCTTTATCACGTGGATGGTAAGGGGAAAATGGAGGACTGTAAGAAGAAACGGTGTGCTTTATGTTGGATATGCCACTGGACCTGGTTATTTGGGTGCTCTTGTTGTTCTGAATCATGAGTAAGAAGCTTCTCCTTGTTTATGATTACTTTTAGTCATCTTTGTTTTGTAACCCATGAAGAAGGTGATGGTTGTGTGCATTGATTTTTAACTTTGAAGGATGTGATGCATGGCTTGTTTGTTGAATTTTATACTACTGCTAATTACTTTAATATGCTTTATGTTCTTTATGAGTTTTTTTTTTTTAAGACTTTTCCCCCGATTTTACTAGGATGAGTATTGTTATGAGTTTCTGATTTTTTCTGTAGATTGTTTCCCATGGTGTTTGAATATCAAGCTGTACGCGTGGCAAAAACTGCAATTTGCTATGGTATATATGAAGCTGTTGTGGCTTGTAGTTTTGTCAGTGGTATGTTCTCTATCTGCATTTTGCAACCCCTTTACTTTCCTTTTTACATGTTGTACTTCAGGGAACTCTCAATTTCTTTGGGTATATTGATTTTCTTTTTCTCTGTTTTCTTTTTCTTATGTCCTTTTTCCTTCCTGATTATCTGTTTCCCTTTTTTTTTTTTAAAGTTTATTATGTAGATCGTGCTGGGTGTAAGAAGCTCATCTCTGGTGATTATGTGAGAGAATCTGACATCGTGATTCCCAGTTAGACGTTGAAGGGAAATTTAACTAGTAGTTGTTAGCCTTCACAGATTTGCAAAGGTTACTGTATGGTTCAAGACCTGAGTAGTAAGGCAGGAAAGAAGTGGAGATAATGTATGAATCGAGCAGTGCAAGGCTGGTACAAATAACGTAACAATATGACATTTTAGTGCTTTTAGTAAGTTTATAGTCTAGTAATAAACTATGACATGGTCATTTGAACAATACGAGAAACTACAAGAGGGAATGAATAAAAGGGCAGTTGGCAAGTAAAATAACACAATTTTTGTGTATTTCTGCCATCATCTTTTGGGGGTTGTGAACAATTACTATGTCAACGGATGTGCTTTTTTTTTGGATATGCATGAAGTATGAACAAACGATTACTATATCAACAATGACCAACCACACTCAATTTCAACAATGGAAATTGGGGGAGAAAAGGTCTCGTTGAAGGTGGATTCGCGAATTGCTTTCCGTAGACTGTTTAGCAATGTGTGATTAAGATTGGGGAGATTTTTTAGTCGGAGGTGGATTTTGTAACTAGGTTTTGCTGGATTTTATCTCTTTTTAAGCTGCTCGCATTTCCGGCTAAGTTTCTGGAATAAATCGGGGCCTCAAAACAAGACGAATGTGGTTAACTCATGAATCAATCATGATAAAAATTAAATATGTAAATCCCTAAACCTATACATCCACCAATTTACACCATTTAACCCACCACCAGAAAAGAGATCTAACTCCTTTATACACAAAACCAGCAAAATTAAGGACATGAAAGCTTCTACCACACCAATCAAGTAATCTGCCAACTCAGGAACGCCTTCAAAATGGCCATGTTGGTCAAATCTTGATTTCAGTAATAGCGCTGCATTGCGAGTGAATCCTAATAGTGATTGATAAGACAGATGTACATTACTCGATCCCAGAGCGCGGATCAATGCATGCATTTGTCAAGATTGTAATCCATAACCATCTCATCAATCAAATCTCCAAAAATCTGGCATTCTACATCCTTTCCCAAAGCATTAATATCGTCATCTACACATTTAGACCATGGGGAGGACTGCAGATCTCGGGCAATCATCATGTCCAGAGAGTAATCTGACTCGTCCATTGTGGGTTGTAAGTACACACCGATGATGTTCCACACTTTGTCCAATAACTTCCTTCCACGCAGAGGTCTCCCGACAGGATCAAGGGCCTTTCTCATAAATTTGGACATTGCTTTTGGTGATCCTAGTACATCTGGAAGTGCTTCATTCAATAAATCAAACAGAATCTTATGATGTGACTTCTCATTTTGGTCCTTTGACAACCCTTCATCATCATCCTTGATGTACTTTTGCTTGTGAGATTCCTCGGCTTCCTCAAATACTTGATCACTGACAGGTTTCCCGGCTGGCTCCCACTTGGCCAAAGACTTATCACACGAACCATCATAGAAACCAGAAATAAGAAGCAAATCTCTGATATATGCCTCATCTGGGTCCTCAATATCGACCATATCAGTTTCCATTGGTTGATCATCATTTGTAACAACCTCCGAGCCATCAATTTCAAGTTGATTTAGTTGCCTGCGTAGCTCTGCATGGATAATAGCCCAAAAAGCTTTTAGATGTAGACACATAATATCTCTTTTTCGTTTATTTGTTTAACAGAGAAATAAACGCAGACTTTGACAGATAGGTAAGGAAAAACTGAAACAGATAAGAAATTCACAGAGACAGCATCAAGTTTTGGAATACTACATGTGGAGTACTCACATCATATGAAGGGAAATTTCGCAAGAATGTTAGCTTTCATCACAGTGACTCACTCTTTGCTCAAAAAGATATGAATGCTAGGTTTACTTATATTAGATATCATCAGGACTTCATATGCTTACCTTTTAAATTTGAGCTGATCTCTTTAAACACATTTGGCATCATGCTATCCTCATAAGATGTTACATCTGACATTGATGCTGCACTGGAATACTCTGCTGGTCTCCAGATTTCTTCATGAATACTGCTGCATACTGATGCAGGGCTTGGAGGCACCTCCGTAAAATTCTCCTGGAATAGCAGATAAGATTATCACTTCATTACTAGTCAACATGATCTGTCCTATCATTAAATTTAACTTTGGGGAAAATGTTCACATAGGCGAAAATATAATAGGTGCCAGAAAAGAAAAGATACTTACTGGACGATCATAATCGCTCATCATCAAGGTTGGTCTGCCGGAGAAATTTCTGTCATGATCTTCTCTATTACTGTGCTGTTGATCTGAGATGTGGATCTTTCTACCAAACAGCCTACCTTTGAATGTGAAACTGTATTTGAGGCTTGTAACCTTTTCTCTAAGGCTGAACTTTTCCTTTTTCCGCTTTTTCACATTTATTGTTATTTTTTCGATAGATTCATGCTTCCTTCTGATGTGAGCACCTGTCAAAATGTGACGATCCTCTAGTAGAAGCTTTCCAAATGATGTTCCCGATACTGGAGCAGACAATGATCGAATGAGGTTCCTGGGTGATAAATCCTCATGAATCTCAGCTTTGGCCGTAGGCTCACCCCTAAATGACCGGCTTTGCATATCTAATTCACCGGCATTTCTTTTGCACAACTTATTTCCTGCATTTGAACCATGCCTTAATTGTTCTTCTCGATGTCTTTCAGGATTCAACTTTGATAATCTGGTACTTCGACGAGTAGTAACATCAGGAACATGCCGATGACTTTCTTCCTTGAGAACATTCCGGAGCCTCTCTGCCAAGATCTTCCTAGTATCTCTACTAATGAACTCAGGAGAATCTGAATCATTGAGCTGCATTCCACTTCTGTATGATCTTGTAGATTCTGATCGATATAAATCCATCACAAGGTCCCTCGTAACACTATCTCTCACTTGTTTTGCAATGCGTTGAGCTATTTGTTTGGGATCGGATGGCTTTTCACTATAGGGGGTCTCAATTCCTCCTCCTCTGACATTACTGCTCCATTTATAGGTTTTGCCATGCAGTTCACCCTTCAGCCTTTCCTTCACCTCCTCAAGGAAATCTTCTATACTACCTCGTTCTTCAGAGATGCATGGGGAACTTCCCCAAGATTCTTCTTCACCATTTACAAATGTATCTAGACCAGGCCTCAGGATCACAATTTTCGAAGGTTCTGAGGCACGGTCTGATTCGTTACCAGAATCAGATTCCCGTGGAAGCTTAAAATCCACACTTGTAGTTCTTATCCTACTATAGAAGTCTCTTTTCTCAGATGAAAAAGATTTCTTTTCCATATGTTGGAAACTGCCATTTTCATGTGATGTCAGACCATCTCCAACAGGTTCCACAGACTTTGTATCCACCCTTGCTTCAATTGAATTGGCATAGAAGTTTATCTTTTCCTTATTCAGATTCTCCTGTGCTAACCATTGACTAGGTTTCCTACCAACTTCAATGAACTTTGAACATTCCTTTATCCTTGCTACTTGCCATGCCTCAAATTCTTTCTTAAACTTCTGTAGTTCCTCCTCTTGAGGATGTTCACGAGGTCTGGGCTTATCCCACTTAGTGTCATCATTCCACCTATCAACATGACGTGTTTCAATAGAATCGAAAGAATTGGACCTCTTCAATTTGGAGAATTTTGAGTAACAGTGATTATGACCAGTGATACCGTCCTTAGACTTATCATTTGAGAGATTTTGCAGATGCATTTCATTCTTGCTGTCAACCTTCAGAGCAACTGTTTTTCGCTCTGATGGCAACATATCCACTCCCATCAGACGGGCAATTACACTTGGTGCATTGTGCTTGGTGTTCTGTCTTTCAGATAAATCCTCACTGATCAGCTTCCTGATTGGAGCCTCAGTTGAATAAGGTGCCTGCTCGGTCCAGTCGTATAGACTGCTGAAGGCATACTGTGAATAGTAGACAAATTAAGAATAATTTAACAAAAAATACTTCACAGATCCAAACACAGGAAAATCTGTTAATCCAAACATAAAAGTTAGTATTACCATTATGTTGTCTCTCCCACCATGTGTACCATAGCAAGTTTCTGCTGGTAACTCCAAGCTGTTTCGAGGAGCCTCAAGCCCTACAGAAAAGTTCACAAAAGCAGCATAGATGTAAAGATAGACTGATTGAAAAATAGTTCTTTTGCTTTCAAAGTTTCTACTAATTTAAGCCTCCAGTTCCATCATGAATGATGCAATTAGATTGCCTCTTTTCAACCAACAATGTCGAAGCCATAAAATAGTTCGGAGCAGACACCCTAATGATCACATAGCTTTGACAAGATTTAATATTAGAAAAGCCAACACAATCAATTATGCAGAACACATGCAGAAGCTTCAGCTCAACACATAACCACTTTATTTAGCATATCATAGAGAAGCGAATTCTGCCAATGAAGTACATTGATGATCTACGACTTATAACTAGTCCCTGAGAAACAACAGGAGAAATGATAAAACATACCATCATCCTCATGCTTTTGTGTGATAACTTTCTTCGCCATTTTGCATAGATCATAATCAAGAATGTGTAATAAGCTCGCCATTCAGACTGTTGTGCAGCCCAGAAACTGCGATTTCCCTAGGAAGACATTTTCCTCTCATCAGACTAAACATAAGGCTTCTGGACTTCCCACACCAAAATATTCTTAGTTATATCCTGCAGAATGGAGAAATAGAGGCGGGGTTAGAACTATGGCAAAAAATCAACCATCTACCACATTGTCATTCCAAAACCATTTACCCCAACTAACAGATAGGACTAAAATTGTGCCAAGTGTCCCCATTTCATCTCCATTTCTTCACTTTCTCTTGGCAAGAAAAGTTCACATTTTCGCAGGCCAGCTTTTTCAGAAACACTGGACCCCAAGTTTTATATTCAGAAACAGGAAAATTCTAGATGATCAGGGAAATAGTTAGTCAGCACTCAGGAGACCTACTAAAATCATTGATGAAAATCTGACAATTTCAAGCCAATTTTGTGATCCAATTTGGTTTCTTTTAAACCCCGGTGGCAACTGGAAATCATTTCAAAAGCTAGAATCATACAGAACTCGGTAAAACTGACTTTGATCAGACCAATACTAACTTTGTAAGAAAATAATTTCAGAGCTGCAAGATTCACTGGCCTAATGCAAGAGAAATTTCAGCAAAAACATCAGAAATTAAGATTCCATGCGTAATCGACAATCGACAAGCACACAATCGAGAATTTGGAAATCCATGATACTCAGTTCCAAATGATCAACATTCCAAGAACAAACAGAACCTTTTAAACAGTTTCACATGCGGCCCTGAAAGAGAAAAGGAAAAAAAAAAACCACCAAAGAACATAAAAGAAAATCCCATTTCACGTCAAGGACAGAAAAATTCAATCTTTCTGAACCAGAGTTACGATACAACCAGAATTAAGCACATTTGTTTGCACTTACTCAATGCATCATCATCATCAAAGAACTCTGAAAGCAAATTACAGCGAAATCCTTCTGGGCTTATTTGAGTAAAATCAAGAGGGACACAAATTTCTGGGATGACAGTTGAAAGACCAGTCCCTCGAGACTGGAAAATGGAACAGAGTACAGAGTGGCAAAGGAGAGAGTCAAGAAGACAGGGTGCTTTTGTATTATGACAGAAGGGAAATGCATGAAAAGTGTGGGGAAAGAGAAAAGAGAAAAGTGGAATAAGAGGAAAATAATACTACTAATAAGTAATAACAAGAATAATAATGGAGAAAAAAAGGTTATCCTTTTCGGCATGAGACTTCATAGCTGGAATTATCACACACACACACACACACACACCAACTAAAAACTTCACATTAGCCAAAAGGTCTTCTTCTCTCACAGTGACTCTCTTTTTCTTATTTGTTTTTTTTTTTTTCTTTTTTCTGCCTCTTTATTTCTTTCTCTCTCTCCTGAGCTTTGATTCTTATGACTGTTATGTATACTTTTCTATTTTGGTTGTTAGGATAGGGATCAAGTGGTGCTTGGACCACCACAAGGGACTCGACAAAATTTTTTTGCAGGCTTCTTTAATTTGGTTTGCCAATTTTGTTTTATATTATTTAAATCACTTGCCAATTTCATATATTTCAGCGGATTCTCTTTGCATTTTTTCAGTGCATTGCCTAGAGAAATTAGTAAAGTCCCATGATCTAGAGTCTAGACAATTTTTTTTCCACCCTAATGGACCTACTTAAATGTGGTTAAAATCCTCTTACAATCCATGACGGGAATCGAACATGATCTATTAACCACTAAGCTGTCATTCAATTCAGAATCTAGACAAATTCTTTCTATAAATGTAAGAATTATACGGTGATTCAGAGATTCCTATATCAATAGTTTGCAATTTTAAATTTCATCACATGAATTGAATTGTTCAATCGATTGAATTATCGTAATCCATTTATATACTCCATTCGATCCTTAATATAAGACACTTCGATTTGTCTTAAATTTTACTCAATATGTATTTTTAATTGACAAAAAAATTTTAACAATATTTTCTAATAATTAGGAGAACACATCGAACATGAAAATATATTTTTAAAATTTTTTCTTCAATTAAAAATACATATTAGGTAAAACTTAGAACAATTAAAAAATGCCTTAGATTAAGGATCGGAAGGAGTATGCCTTAGTTATACAATCATTTGAAATTTTGGGCATAATGAAGAAGATCAAAGGGCAATTGGAGTTTGTTAAAAAGCATCTGATTATTTTTCCTTTCACAGAGTTCATTCGGATTGCTGTCGTCAACAATGAAACGGGTGGGAGGCTAATAATGCTGTGGTACGTTTTGATTTGACCCTTCTACTTTCAATTACTAACTGAATTTTGTTGTATTTTTTGAAGGAAATTGAAGCAATTCTCTCTTTAAAAAAAAGCGCCAATCTTTTTATTTTTTTTGGTTATATTTGACAGTTGCTTGACGCACGACGTAGCCTCCATTTGGCGCCGTTCTAAAACGGTCTTTAAGTGGTTCTTGGCTTCACGTCTTTTGTTTTCTATAGAAAAATTTGTTAAATCTCCTAAAAAGGTTGTCTTTTATGTAACAAAAACAAAATGGATCGAAAGATATTTTTTTGTGAATAAAATTATTATTTCAAGAGCATCTGCTAAATATTTTTAATAGTTATAGAAGGCTTGGAACATAGATTTTGTAAAGATAAACTGAATGAATGAACTGGATGTCCGAAAACCAGAATATTTTAGTTTGGTCACTATAATTCATTTGTAGAAAAAGAACGATGTTGAGAAATCATAGAAAAAGACATTGAGTGGTCAAATACTCAATCAGTAACTTACAAGCAAACCACGCACGTTAGAGGTTTCAGTTCATAAGTCAATGACACAATAGGAAGAAAAAAATGACAATTTTCTAAAGTTCTATTCCAATTGTCTACCCTCAATTTGGTAAAGTGTTGATTTTGGGGGGAAAATGTTGACAATGTAAAGTCTTAAAATCAACAGCTTCGAAAACTAACCGGCGCAATTGTTGGTTATTTCATTTGCCCTTTATGAAAAATTAATTTTTTTTGGATAAATTAAGTACTCAATATCCACTTCATCGTCATGTCTAATCGGAATTTATATTGGAAGTAATTCAAAACTATTGCATCAACTCATCTGAATTCGAGTTAGGTAGATTTCTTTCGAGAGATAAAACTCTTTCGACAAGTATTTTTAATCAATATATGTTTATGTGTACATTTAAACTCGAACCATAATTAAATAATAAATGAAGTATTTGGGAGATGTTTACCATAGCAATAATCTTCAACATTGATGAATCTCGCATAAATTAGCTACACAATGCACAAATTAGTGACAATAAAAATATGCAAAAAAAAAAAAAAGAAAAAAGAAAAAGAGGTATGTGGGGAAGAGGCAAAAAGTTGACGTTTTAGACACAAGAAAATCCTAGGACGAGTACACGAAGCCCACATGGTGAACTAGACACGGCCTTACAGTCAGATACCATTCTGCAACTCTGCCACTCTATAAATTTGTTGCTTTCAATGGGTAATTTTTTTTTTTTTTTTTTGGTGAAATGGGTAATTCATTTGTTCGTATTTCCCCAACCTCTGATTGCAACCGGTCTTTATTGTACAAATGTACAATCATGATCACTTACAAAGTCTCCACTTTTGGAAACTGGCAGATCGTATGATATGATGATGTACCCTTCCCTGACTTTAATAACATCCCCTCTTTATGAAAAAGAGTGACTGCAGAAAGAGGGGGAAAAAACCTCTATCGTTTTTTTCTCTACACACTAATAATGATACAAAAATATTTTGCAAATTGAGTATCAAGTGATGGAGAATGTTTTGAGCTTGGAGAAACAATCCAATAATAAGGCCTGAATGGTACAATTAGTGATTTAAAGGGATCACAATTTTCGTACGTAATTTGAAAATATAATTTTTGACTAAACTATTCAATCACGATACTACGTAATTTTTTTATAATATAATTTCATATTCAGTGAAGCAGACTATCTCGTTAATTATTAGTATTTTACTTTACTTTGTCAACTAAATATTCTGATACCTGAAATTATTATGATCAGATTCTGTAATTAAACAACTCTTTCTGTCTAATTTGAGCATATTTTTTCTTTGGTTATTAAGACACGAGAATCGACTATTTTTTGGGGGGTTGTTCCAAAGGAATTGAGGTGAGTCAGTCAAAACGACCAAATCCCACGTTTGGTCAAAATAGCGTAACATGGAGTAATCATTTAGGGGAGAAAAATAACAAAAATGATAGTACTTGAATTTAATTATACAAACAAGCACGTCTGATCTCACTAAAAGGAAGAAAAAAGATAAACATTTTTTTTCTTTTAGTTGTTTTAACTAAAAGGTTTATTTTGTTTTCTTAGAAAACAATTTCCCCACTTGGACGACCAAACGTGGCGCAAACATCAACTTAATAATAAAGCTTAATTTAATTTATTTGTTAATCAGTGAAAAAAAAATATGAATGGGAAATGGAAATGAGAATCATAACATAACAGAAATCCAAGGAAGATTTTTTTTAATCTCTAGATTAGTATTTCGTCCCTTCTGAAAAAGAGTAGTATTTGTTATTCTTTTAGGACGAAAGAAAATTTTTCATAATCTGTGGTTAGGAGGGATCGATAACAAGGCTGTCAAAGGAACTGAAAAGAGATGGCAACTCCTCTCACATAGATGCTTGCTTGCTTGCAACAAAGACATTTTGATCCGATCAAATCTCCAGAAAATTGAGAAAAAAGTTTTTTAAGGTAAAAGTGGAAAGTAACACAAACAACAAGTAGACCCGTCTAACACATGCCGAGACTCCCATTGAGGACCCAATCAAAAGCTTATTAAAACAAAAGTGGATTTGGATGCCATTATTACCCATCAATCCCCACATGTAATGTAAGTTAAAGACTTCAGAAAAAGCAGCTTAGCTAGAGAAAACATTTATGTGAAGTGTGTGGACTTGTTTTATAGGTTCTCAGAGAAAACTGAAAAGAAAAGCCATATCCTTTACAACTCATGGAGATGATGGTTATGGACCTTATGGTGGGACTTAATTTTGAAGCTGCTAAAAGAGGAGGAGAAAAAAAAGCTTATCAATGATGTAAAATGCGCGGGTCATGTAGTAGTGCATGAATCTGGGACGAGTACATATCAAGTTGTATGTGATTTGAGTGAGTTTTATTAAGAGGAATATATTGTGCAAATCGGTTGTATCATGTTGGCCAAATTGGCCATTGGCCCAATCTCTAGTCTCCATCACTTTGGGGTAATTTTTCTTTTATATAATGCATATCATAAAACATCGCGCAAAGTTTTATTTGTTCGGCTGGTTAGTTTATGATCCTGAACTTTTTGTTTACAATAAAATCAAAAAAAAAAAAACAAAAACTTTTGGGATCAAATATTATTGAAAAACAACCGTAACTTTGAAGAGTAAGAATTGTGAAAAAAAAATATGACAAGACATGAAGTACCATATATAGGGGCTATATCTAATTATCAAGGGGTTTTCAATATTTACTGTTATATTATGGATAGGAGTATTATTTTTTGCGTTCCGTTTTTTCCAATATAGTGACTGATCAGCGTGAGTTCATTAATGAAGTAGAACAAATGGACCATCATTAGGGGACCAATGAATGCTCTAATAATACCAAACTAGATGCCAACCAACATGAACGTATTATGAGATCTTCATACACATATAGGCTACTAAAGAGAGAAAATCCAATGTCTGCTTTCCGAAGCGTTTTTTTAGTGTATTTTTTTAACATTAAAAATCTAATAAAAGTATTAGAAGTGTAAAGAGATGTATTCAGATAGAAAATATACTGTATTAATGAATTATTACGAAAAGACATAGTAAAAGAAATTCAAACCACAGTTTTCCCCCATTTCTTTGCATCTTGAAGAAAGAGAGAGTAGACGATGTAACCTTACAATATATATTGCACGGGTTAATTACTTAATTATGCTGTTTCGGTATGTTTCCATTTCAAAATAAATATAAAGATCATTTAGAGATAAAAATAGTATTTCACAGTTCATACAAAGTTAGCTTTTATATATGTTTTCTCCATTCCATAAAAATAGTTCATATTGAATTTTGATTTTTGTATTATTTTAGTACAAATTTGAAAACTCAATGTGAACTATTTTTTTGAGACGGAGGTAGTAGTATAATTTTTGTTTCTTGTTTTCAGTGTTCACTGATTGATCAAATGCTTCATTCATGACATACAAACACGATCATTCCGTCATTCGTAATACGTGCTCAAGATTCAGGAATGTGATCTTCAACTAAAATAATAAATCTGCAAATATTTCTGGACATGGCCATTACAGTATTTAGTCACAAAAGCTTTAATTAAACTCCAAATTATATTATTTACTTCCCCTATCAATTAAGCTTTTGGTTGACATCTGCCTAAATTATAAATTAGAAGCGGCGCCAAACAAAAGGATTTCAGCTGGTTTTGGGTTTTTTTTTGGTTGTATAACTAACGTCTACTAGCTTTGTATTCATTTTTCAATTGTGAGAACTAACTGTTTTGTTTCAGTATCTTTTTCTCTCTTCCATACAAGAATTACGATTCGAGTACGTTATTTTGGCTTGTCTGTTCTTATATCAAATGGTGATGGACCATTTCTAATAATCTTAATGAAGTATGTTTTCCTTCAAAAAAAATACAAGAATTACGAGATAATCTTAAATGAATAATTTATACTAATCTCGGTTATGTTTCGGTAACTTATATATACAATCTGATGGTCCAAGTGTACACGGATTGCCAATTTATTGTCGTAAATGAGAATTAATCATCAATCACAAATAAATTTTGAACATTCAGTCTAATCTATATGTATTCTGTTTTAAACTAAAACTCAAGATTCTGGCGCGTTGCGGATTTGTCCAAGAGAAATCAACCAAAAGTATTCGAGTACTGGTACGTATGATGATCTTGGCACGTAACTTGGAATTAAAAATTGTGGTTGGACTTGGGATATTTTTTGGTTAAAGCCCCGGTCGAATTAATGAATCACATGCAGAACAGCCTTTTAGTTGTTGATTATGCTTAGAAGATTTTAGCATGATTATCAATTTTCAATATATAATACTCTTGCATCCTTGAAATTCTAGAAAAACATTCAACCTTATTTTGACATTTTTATTCAAAAAAACCACATTATTTTTACAAGATGAAAAAGAGTATCAAATATGAGCGCAATATAATTTAATGGTAATATATTCGAAGATCACTAGAAGTTTATCAGCCAACTCCATCCTTCATGAACATTTACATTTTCATTTTCGTACTACTAAAGATGAATTAGAGATCTTAATTGCGATTTCAGAATTTCAAAATGTATCGAAACCAAAAAAAAAAAAAGTTATTCTTATTCACAATTAATGTTTCAAGTGATTATATATCGACTAACTAGTTGGCGAAAAAAATACCTTACCGCATCATCCAAACTTGCACATTTCTAAAATTGCCATTCATTCTTGTTGAAGAGGTACAAAAACATCTTTGTTATTGATGGCATTATTGTCATGTAATTTATGATGGTGTAATGCTGTAATGATTAGCAAATTTGCAGGAATAGCAATCATATCTCAAACTACTTAGGAATTGATCCCAAGTTTCAAACGCTTTTCATAGGTATTGATGACTGTGCTGAAAGTCCCCAAGTAGTTGAGGGAAGGCAAAGTGTGCAAACGCCGAAACCCATCAATACATTTGCGATTTGCTTTATTCTTTTTGGGGATCATTTGTCACATTTATAGCGTATTCATATCCGCTACAAGAAATGGGCTGATTCCGTAATAAATACGAAACAGGCCTTAAGAAAGGTCTGAATATGAACCCAAAATGTCCAACCCTCCTAATAATCCACTCTTAATTCTTAAAAGTTAGAAGCGAACTGTTGAAACTCTTAAGAGAAAGGAAATGAAGGGAAGGAAAAAAGAAAAAAAAGAAAAAGAAAACAAGACAACTCGTTTTATCGTTGGTTAACGGATAGGACTACAGGAGTATTGATCAAACAATTGCCATGCTTCCACGGCAACCGACACAAACCATCGACGGAATACCAAAGGCAAACGTTGAATATAACCTGTCTCTCATGGGAAAAATGCACGAGCCGTCTCAGCCCATCTTAATGGAAACCTTAGTCACCGAACTATTGGTAAACCAGAGCCCACATATTTTTGCCCCAAATTGAAAGAAACCAGAAAACCTATGAGCCCACACCAATATGCCACTTCCACACGTCTTAAACTACCAGTAGGTCCAGCTAAGAGCTGAGACTGCTTAATTAATAGTACATTCTTACTTCCTGAGTCCCGAAAAATTAATCCACATATTCTTAAACCCTATAATTGCATGCAATAGTCACGGCTTATCAGCTGAAATTAGATTGAGGAGACAGCTTGATACCAGATACATTCTAAAATCAGTTGTAAAAATTATCTTCTCTGTAAAAATTCAATTCCTCTTTATTAATGGGGGAGTATATATAGTGTATATATACATAAGGTTTCATTTTTCGTTTCTTTTTTGGGATCTAAATACAAACGGAAGGGATCAAATTGGGTGTGACGAGGATGAGAAGGTCAAAATATCAAACAGATATAGCACTTTTGCTTTAACGAGGTCACTCCTCGTCATTATTTTAAATCCATTTCTGTCCTTTTATAATGAAATCAACTATATCCCTTTCGATCTTGTCGTTTCCGACAGTTGGTTCGAAATCCCACCGTCCAAATCCTTTTCCGTCTCGCAATCATCGGATTATTTAACCAGCACCCACGTGTCCTCATCACACAACCCGCTCAATTCAATTGGCTCTGTACTTTTCTCTCCTAATTTTTCTTCTCCAATTTTGTTATAAAAAAAATTAATAAATTATTTAAAAAACAACCAACAAAAATGGACAGTTTAAAGAGAAACCGTGGTTGTGAGAGTTTCTTCTCTCCTCACTCTCACACTTTCTTTACACACTCACTCTAACAATTTGAAAATCTCTCTTTGGGATACGAAAGAACCGGCGCTATTTCTTGTTCTTCCTTGAAATCTTGTTTTTGTGTCTGATCTTTTCACTTCTTAAGAAGCGCGGAACGGAGATTTTCGCTGTGAGATTTGAAGTTGTAATGTTCGTGAAGAAGCTCGTGGAGAAGGCTTCGTTTCCGAAGAAGGTAATTATTGAAATTTTTTACGGTTTGCATACTTGTTCTTCATCTTTAAGTTCCTCTCTTCCGTGAGAAAGAGTGTCGATAATCCATATTTTAGGACTCCGTTCTATCTGGTATTTGGTGATTTGAGATCTTAAGAATGGCGAAGAATTGAAGTATCGATATTATGCTCGTTTTGCAGTTTTCTTTCGATTTGTGCATTTTTCTCGTCATTTTTTTTTTAAAAAAAACTTTAGAAATTCTGATTTCGGTGAATATTGTTGTGTGGAAGGTGATCGAGTTACTTGTAAATTAGTATTTCGGTTTAGTACGTCGCTACTCTGTTTTCGAACTTGTCTTGAACAAATGATTTTTTTCTTCAAACTGATGGAGAATTTCGATTCGATTGGTCATTTTTGCTGCTCGTTTGTTTTGTTGTTCATAACAATCGTCCTGTTCTTGAAGCTAGATGCCGTCGTTTTGAAGGTAGAGAATAAGTGCAAGTCCTTATTATTGTTATATTTGTTATTGTAATTCGGCTCTTTTTCCAAGAAGTTTCGAACACTAAACATATATATTTTCTCTGTCCGTCTTAAAATTATTGTCCAGTTTGAGATTTCACTTTTAGTATAATTTGAATTAAAAATTATGAGACGGACGGAGGAGAGTATTAAAGTACTCCTCAATCCTCATCTTTTGCTGCTTGGATCTTATTTTCCGAATTCCGGCAATTTCGCTCATTCGTTGATCTTTATATAAATTTTTGAAAATCACTGGTTACGGAGGTGATTGCTTGACAAATTCATTACGATGTTAAATCATTAATTGATTTTTTTAAAAGTTTATTGAGAGACAAATGAAAACAGAGGGCAGTGGAGAAAAATCGTTTAACACACACTTTACAGTACGGAGGTGTCGGATTCATCATTATTGCTAAACGTGATTTCTTCACTTTGGACTTCGGAAGGACTTCTGATGCTCTTATCTTTGGCAACTCATAAATAAATGTTTGTTGATTATGGAAAGATTCATATTCGTGTTAATATTACTCCTAGTATTTCTGTCCAGAATTGGATCCTTCATTGTTTTCATCGCGATTTTATTACTCCTTTTCTCTAGCTGAAACCGTCGTAGTATTTATTTTGGAAAAATATATAATTATAAAGACGTTGGATTTTATGATTTGCTTTGTTTCCATCTAACAGGGATGAGTATAGTTTTGTGTGAATATATCAACCTGAAACAAAAAGAAATACTCCATATGAACTGGCAAATCTGAGTGCAACGTAAATACGCAATTAGTAGTATCTTAAGTGGGCAAGTTGGGTTGTTAATTAAAAAGAAGATAAAGTTACTATTTTAGAATTTTTTTTAAAAAAATTTTTACTTTTATTTTTAGTTTTCTTTTGGTGACAACGGAAACAAAAAGTATTGTGTCAATGGTGTCCCTATTAACTTTATGGAAGGTTAATGACTAAGGAGCTCATATTTTTACTTTTTTTTTTTTTAATGTGGACCAAATGAGATCACTGTCCTGTTTCTCAAATTCTGTAAATTTTATTCGGTCAGACCGGTAGCTAGAATTTCTGAAAAGACAGGCATTTAAAAAATTCTTTCATTTCCATTGAACATCGGCATTGAATAAGTTCACCAATAAATTTAGCTCGGACCTTTTCAACGAGCTAAGTCATTTTTCACCTTCATAGTAATCTAACAGATTATCAAAACATCCCATTGTCTCTTATGTACCTCCTATATATGCTTAGAATAGGCCAAATGGATTTAGTAAATGGAGACATTATTTGAGGATACTCTACTTCTATTTTTCAATTACTTAACATTTTTTTTAAAAAAATAGTTTTAGTTTCCCTTCAAAATTTCTTGCATTATGTCCAGAAAGAAAATCTTTCTTCTTCTTTTTTTTTTTTTTTAGTTTTTGTTGTTCTTCCCAAAAAAAAAAAGACAAATAAATAAAAAGGAAGAAGAAAAGAAAATTCAGGATATATGAGAAATGTTTATGTGATGTTCTTCTGCTGGTCGGTGGAATAAATTAAGACTACTGCTAGGAGCTAACTTTTTCTTCCCTATGTTTCCAACCAGTTGTACTCTCCAGAGCTAAATTAAATTGATGATTGTACATGGGAATTCTTTGTATCAATTAATTTTTTGCAATTTGATAAACACACTGAGTGAAAAGTACAACTAGTACTTGAGTAAATGATTAAGGAACAACACTCATGAATTGTTGGCCTATGGCCGCTTAACGATATTATCCTGTGAATCTCAGTGTCACTAATTTTGGAATTTACAATTGCCTCCTCAAATATTTCAATTACAATGCAAACAAACCTGGCTATTGGCTAGTATATAGGTGACCCCCTTGACATATGTTAATTACTCCCTTCCCAAATGATGGTGCTTCAAAGGGAGTATTTAGTAGTTTTTGGGGAACCAGAGTTGTAATTTGCCAGTACAAGAAATATCTAAAGTTTTCTACTCATTTGAATAAACATTCAGGGATGTTTGGGGATCAAGACCTTATACTTCAGTCATCTAGCCATGGTTGTTGCCATGTTGGTCCCTCACTTCTGTACTAAATTGCATCCTGCAGTTCATGTTGATTCCAAACGCTGATGATTCTGTGGTTTTGCCTTTTGAGATTTTATATTTTGATTTCCACCTTGTTTTTTTAAAGGAACCTTGCTCTGGTTTGTGTATGTTAAGTTTCTTAGTAGGAACCTCTTTTCTAGTTTTTCTTTTCCTCTTAAAGCAGATGGACTAATTTTCGGATACTGACAGAACAGCATTGTTTTCTCTGTTTCATCTGTCAAGGACACTATTACCTAGTTTTTTCACTTTACTCCCTGGACCTTTATGTTTGATTCTTTGTGATTTGTTTTGCAGCCACCAACGGAGGGACTGAAAGCCGATGATGTAGCTCCTCGTTTGGTTTTCCATTACGGTATCCCTTCAGGATCGACTTTGTTGGCTTATAACCCTGTCCAGAAAATTTTAGCCATTTCAACTCGGTAAATTTCTGAGAATATAACTGGTGAAGTGTTCATGCATTTCTCTGCTTCTGTACATTTTATTGCGTGAACATTTGTCACTATTATCATCAGCCTTCCACTTTTGCTGTCTGTATTAGCGTTCTCCTTGTAGTTCATCAGTAAAGCTCATAAACAATTAGAGAAAAGAACTTGTTTTTACAACTTTGCAACAATTAAATTGCTTAGATGAGTGACTTTGCTTTGATAGCACTAATGTTGAACTAAACTTGGGGTGATGTTCTGCAAAATCCTGAATATGGATGGACTGTGGCGAACCTATTAGTCCAATGTACAAATCGTTGCTTATTTCCAAGGTTTAGTTTTGAAAAAAAAACCTAAAATATGCCAATAATTACAGGCAAAAACCGTTTACAACAGTATCTGATCTGTTTGTTACCGATCTCTACTAAGTGGATCAACATGACAGTATGACAGTAGCAGTTGTCTTAAATTCTTAATTTTTGCAGAGATGGACGCATCAAACTATTTGGGAAGAATGGGAGTCAGGCCCTTTTTGAATCTCCTGAGTTGTTGCCTAGCAAATTTCTCCAGGTATTCATCCCAGCCGTCCCTCACTTTTACTCTGCAGTAAAAGTGATTGTTATTCTATTTTTCTTGTTAATGTCTAAAGTAGGGTGTATTTGATACTTGCTGTTTGACTTGCAGTTTATTGAAAACCAATCTATCCTCTTGAACATTAACACAAAAAACCAGATTGAGGTATGCTAACTCATTTTTGAATAGATCTCAACATATTTATTTCTATTATGTAGTCATTTGCAACAGAAGCAGTATACTTGGAAAAACTGTTTTTCTAACGACAGACCTTTGCTTCCCCTATATTTGCCTTGGTCAAAAGCACCCTTCAATTGAATATTTTACTAGCTCAATCAATGTGTTTTAGGTTTGGGATTTAGAAAAGAGATGCCTGTCTCATGTTCATGACTTTAAAAAGGATATCACCTGTTGTACATCCATGTCTCATGCTCCTTACGTGTAAGTATACCTGAAATCGATGCAACTCTGTGATTTGCAGGGTCTTCAAAGTATAGTGGTAGTAATTTGAAGCAATTTTTAATAATAATCTTAAGAATTTATCTCAGTGGAATCTGATCTTTGTCAGGTACATCGGAGATTCTCTTGGCAATGTTTCAGTTTTTAAGGTTCATCATGAGGCATATACCATAGAGCAGATGAAATACAGAATACCATTCTCAGCATCTCATGGTAAGTGCAGTAATTTTGTCATGTCTGGCCTGTACCTTATCACTATCCTTTTCTCTGGAATTTTAAGCGGATAAGGTTTTGTTAGAGGAGGTTTGCAATATACATTTGTCATGTGACATAACTTTATAATTCTTCAGTCCATTCTTCTGCTGTATTCCGAATTTCCGATTCACTCACGCACGATTGAATGACTCTTGTGTAGGGATCTCTGATGAAGCTGCTGCTGATATAGCTGTGATCCAAATATTACCTCATCCTACAGCTGAAAGCAAGAGGTATCATCTTGCCTAGATTTGAAACTCTGCTATCACTCAGAGGGTTGCTCTTTTGTTGACGATATCTGAAAGTGGCAGTGTTGATGATATTCTTTGTAACTGAATTAGCAGTTATCACGGTTCACAGGCGAAAATAGTGCAGAAATTTGAAACTTCTAACCATTTCTTATTGTTGTGATTGATAAAATTTCCTTTTCAATGATGTTGCAGGGTTCTCATCATCTATGCTGATGGTATTATGACCCTATGGGAAATTCAAGAAAGCAAAGCCATCTATACAACTGCTGGAATGACATTCCAATCAATATCACATGAAACAAAGAAAGTAACTGCGGCTACTTGGGCTTGCCCTTTTGGAAGTAAATTAGTTATTGGATATAGCAACGGAGAGATTATAATGTGGAGCATTCCTTCTCCCTTTGGAGATGTTGGAGGGAAGGAGGCACTTGCTCAGAATGGTCCAGGTTGTAAATTAAATCTGGGATACAAACTGGATAAAGTTCCTATTGCCAAATTGAAGTGGGTTTATGCAGATGGGAAATCAAGTCGATTGTATGTTCTAGGAAACTCTGACTATCCATCTGCAAACTTGTTACAGGTTGTTTCTTCTTCTTTCTTCTTCTTCTTCTTTTTTTTTTTTTTTTATGTTAAGAGTTTCTGCTTTTTACTGGGAGCTTCTTGAAGTGATTTTTGAAAATGGGGAACCTGCCCCTTCAGCTTTTGGCTGTATTGTTAAGGAGCCTAACTGGGCGAAAGCGCATATTTGTTTGCACCTAATAGACATTGCTCTAGGGTCTCTATTAAAATTGATATTGAACACATTAGGTTCACATTTCAAATTAAAACTTGGATTCCATTTCGTGGTTTTCCAGGTATTTAACGTAAATCTTATATTTATGTAGAATTGATTTTTCCACACTTCAAGTGTGTTTGCTCATGAAGGATATCCATTATTCAGTTCCAACTTGTCAAATTATGGATTAGTTATGATAATTGATTGACCCAATTGTTAATTCACCTTTTTGGATATAAACTAACATTGAGATTAATATGGCAGGTGGTTTTAATGACAGAAAATATTGAGGTCCGCACGATCAAATTGGGGCTTCATATTCAAGATTCCCCCGTTGATTTTGGAATTGTCGCAAGCTTTAATTTGCATATGAAGCAGAAGAATGATTCTCTTCTTTTGCTCGGGAAGTCTGGTCACTTACACAGCTTTGACGATAACTTGATTGAAAGATACCTACTACAGAGCCAATCCAAGTCCTCACCATCACTTCCAAAGGAGACACTGGTGAAGTTGCCATTTGCTGATCCAAGTATTACTGTTGCTAAGTACATAGTGGGCAATCCACACTTTTCGTGTTTGAAGGATCAGGTGGACACTCAGATAACTGCTTTAAAAGACTCTTTTTGCTTGAAATGAACTTAAATAATAACACATTCATTTCTTTCAAAATTTTCAGGATTATGACACATTGGCAAAGGATACCTTACCATTTTTTCCATTTGATGCACAACCAAAAGATGGATCAAGTGCAAGAGTCTCGAAAGCCAAGAATCTGTATATAACTGGACACAGCAATGGAGCTCTAAAGTTTTGGGATGCTACCTGCCCGCTTTTCCGAACAATTTTATCATTGAGCCAACAGGTGATACTTGTAGCACTGTGAGAATAAGTTTTTGAAGGACTATTAACTTTTAGCTTGTCAATTGGAAGCAGACAATTAATCAATACACTAGAGGATCTATTTCTGAATTTATCTCAGAGCCTACACATGGTTAAAAGCTCTCTCTCCATAATTTAGTAACAAATAGTCAACTCGTCTTATAGTACTTAGTCAACTCGTCTTATTGTTTAATTTTTCTGTTAATATTTTATAGTACTTAGCCTCCTCATTCTTCTCATTTCAAAATCATCATAATTTTGCAGAGAGATGATGATACTTCCTTAAGTGGTGTACCATTGACAGCATTGTATTGTACCCCTGACTTACAGATTTTAGTTTCCGGAGATCAAAGTGGAACGGTAAAGTTCTCTTAATCATGAAACTGACTAATTTCATTGTTTTTTCCAGAGTCCTGGATCCTTGATTCTGCTCCCCCTTGTGCGTGTGTATGTGTGTGCAGATTCGGATTTACAAATTTAAACCTGAGTTTTTTGCTCCAGAAGCCAGTTTCTTGACCCTACAAGGTATTGGAGACATTTAGATTTGCCAACTTCAGCCTACTTTCATGTCAAGTCTTATAAATAAACTGGCTTGACATTTTTCATCATTATCACTTTGTCTTAACCCCCTAATAATCATTCAATCTTTCTTACAGGTGTCTCAAAAAAGAGCAACCTCGTCCACAGTATTAAAACTGTGAAGGTCAAGGGAGTTGGTTCTTTCATAAAAGCTAGTCCGGATGCCAAATATCTTGCAGTTGGATCAGATCAAGGATATGTAGGATTTTCTCCCCAAAATTAAGCTTGTTATGCCATGTTAGTTTGAAAGAACTAGGCCTCCTCTCGAGTAATATATATCATGCAAATTTCTCATGTGGTTAAGCAAACAAGAACCTTAACTTGGTGATTTATGAAAATTAGATTGACTAAAATTTTCTTGATATAATCACATAACGTATTAACTTAACAGCTGGAATCTGTTTGTGGATAAGCTAGCTTTGACAACCTTTTGGTTGTTTTTGGCTGCGGTTTAGAATTGCAATATACATACTTACAGTACTCAATGCAGAGTGTACAATAAAAGATTCCTTTTGTTTCAGTATTCTCCAGCAAAAATGTTTGCACAATCAAAACTAAGAAGCTTACCTATGTTCTGTTTTGTAAATGCTTTATGAAGGTTTCACTCTTTGACATGGAGGGACACACTTTGTTGTATGAAAGACACTTTGAAAGTGAACTCTCAGCAGGAATCATCTCTCTGCAATTTGCATCATGCAGCTTGCACGGCTTTGATAAGAATGTTATAGTTGTTGCTACGAAGGATTCCTCGGTGACGGCACTTGAGACTGATACAGGAAATTTGTTAAATGCTAATGCAATCCGTCCTAAGAAACCATTCAGAGCCTTGTTCATGGAGATTTGGAGTAAGTCTGTGTGTCTGTTGGCCATTGTGTCATAGTTGTTTGTACTCGTTTAGTCGTTAGTTTTCATCTTCTTTTCTCCATCCTCTGAAATGGACGCAGATGGACGAGAAATGTCTGGTCAAGGATCTAACATATCAGACAGGACAGACATAGTGGGAAATTCAGATAATACACCATCGAAGCAGTTTGTGGTGTTATGTTCTGAGAAAGCTGTCTACGTCTACTCCTTAGTTCACATTTTACAGGTAAAAAGCATTTCGTATGGGAAAGAGTTTAATTGTCGTTGCCTGTTCTTTGAGAACTTCGGCCTTACAGATTTTTATCTGTGAAATTACATATGCAGGGTCTGAAGAAGGTATACTATAAGAAAAAGTTCCATTCCTCTTCTTGTTGCTGGGCTTCTACTCTCGGAAGTCCTGATTCTGGGATCACTCTTCTATTTTCCTGTGGAAAGATTGAGATCAGGTATTTTTTTTCCTTCATGTCACATTGCTCTTTCTAGTTGATTTTGTTAAATACATGATATACTACCAGGTTTGTCCCGCATATCTTGGAAAAGATGCATCTGGTGATAACACCTCAAGGACTAGTGCATCTTGATGAGTGCTAGGTAGAGTAAATCGACTATAACATGTGGGGATCTTTAATCATCAAACTGGTCATTAACCTAAGGATAGAAGGATGTACAACTGGCTTACTTTGTGCTATTTAGTATTTACATCATATTGACCACCTTTGTGTTTACAGTAAAATACTATTGCAAATAGTTGTTCCTTGCAACACATATCTATATTGAAGAAGAGCTTCATTTCTATTTCACATTATTAGGTTGGTATATTCTACTATAAATCAAACTGCAGATTCTCAAGGATACTTGTTTGTGATTGCAGATCCTTGCCAGAATTGTCTCTTCTAAAGGAAACCACTCTGAGAGGCTTCAGGCCTGCAATTCCTAAGTCAAACTCTATTTCAAGCACTTCCATGTGTTTCTCAGGTCATGGTGATATTCTTGCGGTAAACCGATGTCTCTAAGCTTGTTCACTCAGTTATTATTTTGAATTTCCTTGGCAATTTCATATTAATCAAGTATATCAAATAAATAGGTGGAGAGTGATCAGGAAGCTTTTTTTATTCACGTGTTACTTGAAAACGATGTCTACAGGTAACAAGCAATATTCTCTTATGACGGATAATAATTCTTCAGCTGAAATTTTTGTGACTTGCTGTGATCATGTGATCTTTCACTAGGTTTTTGGACCGTGTTTCTGAAGTCTACTCAAGTGAACCAACTATTGCAGAAGGGTCTTCTCCTACCGCTCAGAAAGAAAAGAAGAAGGTGTACTTTCTATTGTTGCATTTTGAATTAAAAATTCTATACTGATTCATCATTCTTCTTTTTGTACTTTGTGGATAATAGGGATTATTTGGGGTCATTATTAAAGATGTTAAGGGAACTAAAACGAAGAGTGAGACTGAAATTGAAGATTCGAGAGCAAGTATTGAAGCATTGTCAATGACATTCTCCGCACCAAACTTCCCATTGGAGTCAGAAAATGAAGAAAATGTCTGCTCAACCAAAGATGATCTAGATCTGGACATAGGTACCTTCTGAAAAAGTGAATAAGTTTTTCCCAGAAATTACAATTTTGGTTGTGCTATTGTTCCGAGCTTCGCAAATTTTGTCACTGAACACTTTCACATGCCTATTTTTTGGTACGTTATGCCTCTGCAATAATCTAATCTTTGCCTCTTGTGGTATGAATTTGTCTTCCCCAAAGATGATATTGATATCGAAGATCCTGGTGAGAAACCTAAAGGACATGGAGTAATGGCAGCACTAAACAAACAGAATTTTACAGATAAATTTCAGGCAATTAAAGGTGTGTATCAGTAATTCTTTTCCGTTCCATGTTCCATGGCGTTAAATATTTATCCATCTATCACCAGTTGTAAATATGCTCTGTTGTTTTTTTCATGATGTCACGAGAACATTACACAGTCATGAGCCAATAATTGACTTCAAACTTGCTTTTAGACAGCAAGAAAATTAAACTGCAAGGTTGTGGCTAATCTAGGGTCAAGTCCAAGGTTATCTGCTTCTGCCAGTTTGTCCTTTTGGTTGCTTCAATAGAATGACTAGCTATGTAAAATATGCTGGATATTACATTGGTTAGAAATCTGATAAAACTTTTGACAGTATTTGTTTTAAGCTCTAAGTATAACAATCTTTCTACATTCGTGAAAAGCACAGGCTTGTACTAATGTGTTAGCATTAGCCTTTCTCAATTTGAAGACCCCTAAATTACCAGAGAGTGACATTGCCAACATCTTCCCCAGTTTTGTCCGTCTACTATCGTGAATCCTGATAATGTTTGGGTGGCCACGAGACATTTTTTTGTAACTACATCGTCGATTTCTGGAATTTAAATAACCTTAAAATTTCTGTGGTTGATTTGATTTGCTGTTTGAACAATTTTGTTGTGTTATCTTACATCGTTTTAGGTAAATTAAAACATATGACCGTCAAAACTGAGAAAACACCAAAAGAAACAGTTCAGGAAGAGAAAGTAGATTCTGTTGACCAGATTAAGAAGAAGTATGGATATGCTGCCACAGCCGTAAGTTTCTTTCTCCTTCCTAAGTCCTTTGCCACTTAGCTGATAAAAGTGATTGTAATTAATGCAGTTTGCCCCTTTGTTGAGTTTCAGCTGCTTATCATGAAGAATACTTCGTTGCCGAAAGAATGATTGTCTAATTTGAATTTTTATTGTACTTTTGGGATGGAGGGAGTCTTAATTTTCGGTTGCTATACTTAACATCATGCAGCAGGTCAATTGTGATATTTATGTTTCTTCACTTCCATGTAGGATGAAGGTCCAGGTTTTGCAAGCATTGCAAAAAACAAGCTGAGCGAAAATTTGAAAAAGTTGCAGGTACTACTTACTACGGAGTATGGATCCTTTAGTATCATTAGTACGCTACCTGAAACTCTTTGGAAGTTAAAACTTTTTTCTCTTATACGTATCTTATCTTATAAGGTTTTATGATTATCTTACAGAAATAAATATGGGAAATTTTAAATTCAAGTTTAAGAGTAAAGGGGATCCGGGAACCAAACTGATAAAAAAAAAAAAAGAAGAAGAAGAAAAGCTATTCAGTTCATTGATAAGTGTCCAATACTGAATTTTCAGACAAAAAGTATGTATTCTAGGTTCGCTTAGTTCATTGAACACTCAATCACTTGTCAAACACGCTTAATCAACGAGTATTGAATCAAAAAACCATTTAATTCATTAAAGCACTTAGAACTTAATTGGTGATGATTATCAAATGCACGTATTGATAATCAAAGTATAAAAAAGTGATCATTATACGATCCTCAATCTTGCTTGAAAAACTGAATCTAACAAGAGTTGTTGAATTTGCAGGGTATAAATATGAAATCTACCGAAATGCAGGACAGTGCAAAATCGTTTTCTTCTATGGCCAAAGATGTTCTGCGATTTGCAGAAAATGGCAAGAAGAGTTCGTGATCATATGTACAATTTTATTCATTTGGTTTACCAAAATATATATATATGAAAATTTTATAGTCTAATCGTTAAATTTTGACTGAACCATTTAATCAAACTCTAACCAATCAAAAATAGATACGTTTTTAATGATCATAGGGTGAGAAGTATTCTAATAAATCCTTATCAATCTTAACCCTTTTTTTGTAAAACCGTAACCTACTACCTGCTGATCGGATAACTTATAAGCATTTTTTGAACTTCATTTTCTGTGCTCATTATAATTTTGAACATATAAAATCATAATCGCAAATGCCGTCGAGGAGCAAAAATCGGCAAAGCATGTTGATTCACAAGCATGCAGATAGAAGAATCTTTTTCTCTTTTTCACACATATAAAAATTTAAAAAAATTGATCAGAATTTAGACGACCAAAAACTTATTTTTACATGTTCATTTTTTTAAAGCCATTTTTATCTCCTATTCATCAAAATAAATAAGAAACGAACTTCTTGGATTCTCATAAAACAACATTAAACTCAGATTCGGGAAAAAAATTTCAGGCCGTCGACAAGTCGATGAGATTTCATTTAAGTATTCTTCAACCACTACAAAGATAAAAAAAAGTCCAGTTAAATTGCAAATAAAACAAATAAAATTAAACCAACATGGAAATTCACAGATGAAGTTGCCTTCATTTGTATTTTATTTTCTCATTTTCTCCAATTTCCCATTACCGTAAGAATCTTCAATATCAAACAAACTAAACCAATTTGGATTAGAAGATTGAAAGCTTCATGAAGGGCAAAATCCATTTATTCTTGGTACCCAAACAAAAAGTTCCCTTGCCCACGTTTCAAATCTTCTTGGTAAATTTTGAAATCTGCAAACGCAGTTTATAGACAAATAAAACAAGAGTTGCGATGCTTTGATGTAATATGTTCAGAATCCTACTTTGATTCAATTTGAGGGGAAAAAGTAAAATTTTGGGTGACAACTGGTTATATAGGTTGATTAATTCTAATAGAATTATATTATGTGCAAGACCTTATAAAATTTTATGACCTATCTTATTTAATCTTACGGTTATAATATTATTTTGTATTCAACGGTTAATATTAATGATTGAATGATTCCATTAAGTGGATCATAGTGTGTGTATATATATATATATATATATATATAGATATATATTTTGTAGTTTGCATCAAACTCGCCAATGTTTGAAGGAAGTAGCCCATCATCTTTCCCGAGTTATTTTCTGGGTAAGGGGTTTGCCCATAATTCATTTCTTCTTGTACAGTAGTTTATAACAACTTGGACAGGGGTACAATCACTGGTTTGTGAATGTGAATTATTTGTTGTTTGCGTCCCAAAATAAAAATTCATACCTGTTAAATTGTTTTTGCAGAGCAAACTGACTTCGTATAGCGGGACTTGCGAATTTCAACTACCTACATTTTGTTTAAAAAAAATTGGCTAGCAGTATAAATGTACAATGACACTCCAAAATAAAAAGTTTATTTGTTAGATTTTATATTTTTATTTTTTTGGAAATTTGTTAGAATTTTTTTTTTGTACTAACAAACCTCTTATTATAGACGTGTTTCAGCTACTTGACAACTCCACTGGGAGCTAGGCGGAAACATTCTCTACTGAATTACGAAGCAACCGGTAAGCCTATTCGACTCGTTTCTTGAGTTGTACACGATTGTTGGACTCCACTTTTTTATGTAACTTTTTTTAAAAAAACATTACAATTCAAAGTAGGATGAGATTCTCATAATAGAGTATAATATGTATGGCAACCGATAAATAAGTCTATCCAACTCGTTTCTTGAGTTATACACGACTGTTGGACCTCACTCTCTCAAGTAATTTTTTTTTTTAAACATTACAATTCAAAGTGGGGTGAGACTCTCATAATAGAGTATAATATGTATCCATACTAGACCAGAGGAGAGAAGATGGGAATTAGAAAAGGAAGTGAAAGAGCGGGATTCGATCCCTCCACCCCTGCCCTAACATGACATGTTTAGTGGCCAGTAGGACAAGTTCCAATGGTTTCTCATGTAACCAGCTGGACTCAGAAATAAACTCCATCTCCGCCTTCATGCATTTCATGCCAATTTATATCCCCAGTTGGATAAAGTTGTTAATTATGTTAAAATTTCTTCAGTGATCAAGAATTGGATAAGCTACTCCCGGCTTTCTCCATTAGTTGAAAATTATATATAGTGAAAATAGATAGTAAATACCCTAATGATTAAGGAGACACGAAGTACTTAACTTTGTTTATTAAGTTGATAGTTATTGAGAAAGTACCCTACAACCGAAGTGTACGAGTAATAACAAAGGTCTGATAGCAGTTCTGCCCGTTCACATCGTCAAAAGTAAGTAAACGTTGTGGTTCAAAAACATGAGCAGCTCCAATAAAGAATCTATATTTTACAAAGTTCAAGATGTCATGTAGTAACATACATGCAAACCAAGAAAATCATACAGAGAGCAGGTAGAGTGGACGATTGCAGATAATTAGCCTATTCTAAAATTAGTTGCACTGAATTTTACCAACGACTCTCCTAATTTAAAACCTCCCGATTCCTCTATCCGCACCGCCAGGATCAAGTGAGGCTTTTTATTCTCTACTTACCATCATCCTCTTTATTTCCATCAAGTATCGTCAATCCTAAGTTTCTACGAACCAGAAACATATTCATTTGTGTAACTTAATTAAGTTTTAAGAAAAGAAGATTGTTAGTGTGAAGATGTTTCCATAGGACTGATAGAAGAGGAATTGATACAAACTTCATCAAGAAAAGGTAATTCGAACACCAACATTAGATCAGCAACAAACATGAAGTAAACTAAATCTTTCAATCCAAACGGTATCTATGATCAACCACATGAACACAAAACCTTAAAGATGACATCACCAACACAAGAAACAATTAATCAATTTTCCAAGACATTATATTGCTTAAAGGCTAAAGCCCCCTTCAGATGTCACACGCAGAAAGGCGTGCCATTGGCAAGATTAAAGATACTGAAAGTTCGATAAATTGATTCCAAAGGCGTCTCACGTATGCGATTATCCCATACACTGCAAAGTGTTTCCAGTATAAACAGAAATTGATTACCAAAGACGTATCAAGCATGCGATTATCAGCTAAGAACAACTCCCACACCCCCCCCACAACTCCATATTAAAAATTAAAAAAAAATAATAATAATAATAACAATAAAAAGAAAAGCTACAATTATTGAAACGAATATGCAAGGCTACGAAATGTTGATCCACGAAAGTAGGTACTAATGCAGTACGAAATACCATATTACTGACATGTCTAATGTTTCTGCAGTAACTCCACCAAACAAGAGTAGATATGTTCTTTCATAGCATCTCTATTACTTGTGTTCATTGTGAAAACTGTGGATTCTGCATGATTTCTCAACCTTGCAACTGGAGAAGTTACAACAACACAGTTAGACTTATGTACCTAAATAAAAGGTAACAAGCTAATGGGAACAGTTTAGTAACTAAAAATTCAAGGCACAAGCAGCCTAGACATATTCACGAAACAGCAACATATTTTTTTGGTGAACCATTTCGTTCATTTTAAGTTAAAGCACACATGATGCGACGACTTCTCAGGCAAAAACACCTTTTACATTGGCAATAAAATTACATTTACATCTTAAACATAATGACGATATCCTTTTAAAACATGAAACAGACTCTACGAATGTCCATATACCACAAATCAGGCCAAATGGATTTTGAGGAGAATGACTAAATGAGAAACAATGTTCAGCAGAAAAAAAAAAAAAAACAATGTTCAGCATAAAGGAACAAACCTCCAGGTATATCGACGCCAGATTTTGGAAGGGGAATAGATGCCAAGAGTGGGATTTTAGATTCCAGAACTCTTAGTACAGCGGGATAAAAGAAAGAACTGTACAGCTCCATCTTGCCTACTTCATCGATGACAAAGAGATCTGTATCTTCCTTAATCTAAGATAACAAATTCCCATGGAAACTGTCAGTCGCTGCAAGATTTATAGATATTTATCAAAAGAGAATAAAAGAAGCATACACTCAGGCAAGTGAAAGTAAAGGGGCCAACCGACAATATTTAAACAAGAAACTGCATGTGTAAATTTAGTTAACCAACCTGCAACTCTGGCAAAGCTAATGATTCAAATGAAGCCACATCCACCCTGTATCTCCCTACCATGGGCCATCTGAGAGACTCTGAGCTGCCATGTCAATGCACTTTGTAACTAAAGATGGCAGAACGTAGATAATATGACAACCAAATTACATTGACAACACCATTCTAATCTAAAGCAGAAAACAAGAAATTGAAAATTTTGACTCTCTGGCCAAAGAAGAAACATGCATTCAAAATAACCGCAAAACACATTTCAACATAAATTTGCATCAAAATTTAAATCAGGTGATTCCACGAATAATTGCTGTTGGGCCTATACCAACCAGCCAAATTAACATCTACAGAAAAAGCTTTACATGACGCATCATGTGTTCCCTATTCTTCCACAACTTGCAACTTTCACTTTTCAAAGAGAAAGGCAAAACAAGTATCTGCATCACATTATTGTTTTCAAATTGAACGAGACCTAATCTAACGTCAGCAAACACACCTAAATCAATGGCGTGGAGCTTTAGGACAAAAAAACAGCTAAAACTAGCAATATCAAAAAAGATTAACAAAAGAAGAGTAGATAAACAAACAGTAAAAAAATATAAAAGTACAGTTCAAAAACTCATTAAAACCATGAGTTCCAACACACTTCAGATGTCTACAAAAGTCTCTCACAAGCATTCACGAATCAAGGTTAGTTTATGAGGGAACTGTATCAATCAGAAACTGCTGAAGCAAGCCCGAACTAACAGACTTATGCATTCAGCACAAATCCAGCACTCAACAACATAATCAGCACAATAAAACAGCTCTCCACTCAGAAATTTAAGTGAGCACCTTAAAGCCAACACTACAAAGATCAGAGAATTAAGGTTTTGAAAAACTTGTAAAAAACAAACTTCAGATATGAGTAATCATTACAAAACTCTGATCATTACAAAACTCTAACAAATATTCCTAAATCAAGGCCAGTTTATCAGAGAATTAAGCCAGTCAGAAAATTGCCAAAGCAAGGCCAAAACTAATTGTGAGTATGCATTTCAGCTTAAATCCAGCATTCAACAACATAATCAGCACAATTAAGCAGCTCTCCACTCAGATATATAGGTAAGCATCTTAAGACTGACATTTCAAAGATCAGACAAGTACATTTCTCGTTAAAAACATCAACTCCGGCAAACTTCAGATACGAGTGATCCTTACAAAAGTCTAACAAATATTCACAATTAGGTTGGTATATCAGAGAACTAAGTCAATCAAAAAACTGTGAAGCAAGCCCAAACTAACAGCAGGTAAGCATCTCAGCATAAATCGAGCATTCAACAACATAATCATCGCATTTAAAAAGATCTCCCCCTCATAGATATACCCAAAGTAAGCATAAAAGAAAATGATAAGGTGTTAACTGTGGTCAAAGCTAAGCAATGGCTTCAAAACACAAATATCAACGAAAAAAATTGAAGCAAGTAAATACCTAGAAATTTTGTTGGAGGCAAGACGACCAGTACGGCCATCAATAGTTACCACCTCAAATCCTACTCTCTCATTTCCTTCTCTAATCTCACCTGTTTCAAAGCAAATTTCACGATTCATATTTTCTCCAACAAACTCTTCCCAGCGGGAAAAAAATAATAAATTATCGCGATAGTGAGAGAGCTTACGAGTGTAAAAGCCTTGCACCTTTAAGTTAGGGTAAGTAACCTTTAAGCTCTGTAACAGGCTCATGATCAGCGTAGTCTTCCCTACGCCCTTCCAATTCCACCATTAAAATTATCATCAGATACATGCACACTTTTCAATTCAGACAGGTGCTGCGCGCATTACAAATTAAATATACTTACTGGAGGACCGGTGACGAGAAGGCATCTCGCCGGAGAAACAGCCGCCATTTCTTCACTTTCCGATGACCGACGGAGCTCACTTAGTCACCACTCTCGAATCGTTTGAATAGAGAACCGCCGGAAATTGAAACCTTACGTTGAACATTTCTAAATAGTTCGCGGTATTTATCTATTGGGTTCAGTACTTCAGTCTTGAAATAACGTCGTTCGTAACTTCTTCACTTCCAACGGATTCAATTGCAGGCGTTTGGGCTTTATAAGATACTACTGGATGTACATAACTAAAGAGCCCAAATTATATATAGCCCAGAAAGTACTTCTTATGGTTTTAACGGGGGCCCGTTATTGACTTCCTTCTTTTTTTCTAGCAGAAAGCCAGAAACGTAGAAAATGAGAAAGACGAAATATAATAAGATTAAACAAAGGTGATAATTAAGAGGAAATAAACCGTGGGGAAAAGGAGGAGGAAATATGCCGCCCCCATGATGGTCCATGTGCGAAAGGTAGTCGATGCTTACGAGAAACGATATTTACTTTAGGCCCTTAACTTCTCCACTAAAACGAATATTAATACATAATGATGTGCTTACTAAAATCAAATAAACTCACAAAACACACAGTATATTATGGTGAGCACATGGGACCCAAAGACCCCTGATTGGAATTGATATCGAATATCCGAAAAATAAAATTCCAATAAATCGCTGAATGTGATGTACACCATCTTTGGTATTGAATATCAAATCATCCCGTTTCCCAAATTTCCAATAAATCACTGTTTCATCGGATCGAAGTTAATTGTTGTAACTTGACTCATTTGTCCAGAAGATCCGAATTAACAAAGTTTTCCAGACTTGGCTAGTTACTTCCGTGAACACAACACCATAACGTCGTTAACCGTATACCCTTTCTTTTTTCTTTTCTTTTTTTTTTAAAAGCATTTTGAATAATAGAATACAGATCTTTTCCCAAAAATTGAGCAATTTTAAATCAATAACGAAATTATAGAGTGTAAGCACATTTTTTTCCCTTTTCAAATGTAAGGAGAGCGGATATGGAATCACGAAAAAAGAGTGATGGTAGTATTATTGTTATCACGCATTGAAAATTTGCAAGACCATCTATCATCTTTCATAAATTATTACTAAACCCAAATGCCTAAATAGAGGGAAATTAACACAATTTAGTTACTCAAACAAACTACTGAGCTATAAATGCATTCCAATCTCCCAGACGCGCCACTCGAGAAACTTGAAAGGATCTTGAAACGAGAATAGAAAAACTTCACAATTTCGATGTCGCGCGACATTGTATTTGTACCCATAACAAAATCATTAATCCCCTGCCTAAATTCCTCCTAGTTAGGGTGGAAATTCTCTTGAACACAAGGGATTACTTTGGAAAGGATGCTAACGGAGTTGGGTCAAATGGTTAAAATGTTAAAGAATGACAGATTGGAATAGTAATACAACCCCAAGTTGATTTCGCTTTCACCAAAAAAATATCTTCCTTTTGGACAAGAGAAAATATCTCGCCACTTTTTAAGATATTCCAAACGCAGCACAAAGCACCGCTCATGCATTTTATATTGGAACTCATCTGAAAGAGCTTAACGCAATAAGAATTTCTAAACATGCACGCAAAATCGCACAAGTCTTCTTGAGACAACAATCAATAGAATATGAAACAGATCAAAATATGAACAGAAGAAAATATCTAACTACATTATCATTAATTTAAGATTAAGGATCGATTCCAAATGAGACATCAAAAGTACAGTGCGGGATACCAAGAGAGAGAGAGAGAGAGCTTTAACAGCCCACACCTACTGAAACTACTTAAAAAGTTTTCTTCTGTTCTTCCTTCCAAACTACCTTCGAATTAACAATATAAAAAAGAGAAACTATTTATCTGGGGAGAATAACAAGTGGTCTACTAAATCCAACAGGAACGAAAGGGGGTCAACTGGGTCGTTCCATATCCTACACAGCTTTCCTTTATTCATCATCATCATCATCCTGCCCATCATCAAAACCATTGATCAGCCACACAAACTTCAATTCAAAAAATTTGGACTTAAATTTTAGTAATAACTAATAATCTGCAATTTTATTTGGAAGAGTTTCATCATACCTCTCCGCTGCCTTCTTCATCATCCTCGTCATCGTTCACTTCGGACCTCGACTTGTCAGACTCTTCATCATCAGGGCCAGGACCATCGGCCTAATACCGGAAACAATTTAAATGAGTTCAATAAACATTCTGGTAGTAATCAGTAATACAAGCAAAACAATCACAGGGTTGGATTAAACTGCTTACAAGTCTCTTGTTGTACGCCTGAAGCTCCTTCTCATACTCAACCTTCCTCTTGTCAGCCTTGGCTTGGAAAGGAGCTTTCTCCTGCAAAACACCAGAGCCCAAATTTAGTGAGAAAATGGTCCGACTGACAGAGGACTAATCACAAGCCATGAAAATCATATGTATACATACAGCGTCAGACATGGACTTCCACTTGTCTCCACCAGCTTTACCGACCTGAATCAATCAATCACACAAAGGTCAGTTATCACCACCAATCAATTATATCAAGGCGTCCGACCAGATTACCAAATTAACAGTAAATAACTCACAGCGGCAACAGATTTGTTGTTTGGGTGCTTCTCCTTGTAAGTCTTCCTGAAATCCTCCCTGTAAATGGAATCAATAAACATCGAAATCAGATTTCCAATAAGAATTTAAACATTTCTACACATACGCCGCTGGTTACATCACGGAAAACGAATACAGATCTAAATATGACGAAATAATAACAAAACGCAGGGACAAACAAAACAGGATTGAGAGATTACATGAAGACGAAGAAAGCGCTAGCTGGTCTCTTGGGTTTGTTGGGATCCTTAGCGGCCTTTCCCTTCTTCACAGGCTTCTTGGCCGCGCCTTTCTTCACGGAAAGCCTAACACAGATTCAAAGCATATAATCAATAAAAAAAAGGTATCAAAAAAATTGAACAAACAGATCGTAACAGATCTGAAAATCAAGTCAGAAAAAAACAAACGAAGAATAGCGAAAACTCACTTGGTGTCCGCCTTTCCCTTAGATTTGGCTCCTTTCATGATGAAAACCTGCGGGAAAACAGCAAGAACCGGTGAGAATCGCTACGGAATCGGTCAGAACCGGTGAGAAATCGACTGAGCCGGCGGCGGAAAGAGAAACCGAGTTGATACCTTTAGGTATAATAAGAGAGAGAGAGAGAGAGAGAAAGATAACAAAGAGAGAAACGACGTTTTGCCCTTTGCTTTTGGTGTGGGTGCGAGAGTGTGCGTTTGCGAAGCGGAGAGATAAGAAGGGGTTTGGGGGAAGGGATAGAGAGAGAATTTTGGTGAGAGAGTTAAAATTGAAACACAGAAAACATTTTCAAGTCCGCCTGGTTTGGGCGGGATTTCAAAAATGTCTCGCCCCGTCATCGATCCGTGTGAATCCACTCCATTGGCTGAGAAGGCCACATTTGTTGCTTGGGTTTGGGGAGTTTGCCGTTGTGTTTTCTGTGTGCTTCTTCGGGGTGAGATCTGATCCGTTGGGAAGGCGCTGGCGGAACAGTAGGGACAGGTGGAGGGCCCCGATTGCATGGGGCGTTTTGGGCAATTGACCCACACGTGTAGTGGTTTGCTTGTTAAATGACGGTGTTGCCCCTTTTTAGGTTTTGACGGTTCATTGTGGGGTGTCGTTGTGGCCCTTATTAAAGAATTCTAGATATCTATGAAATGATGATTGAAATCCGCGTTGGGATTTCTAGGGATACTTTTGTCATTTCGACCGTTGGATTTATGCTTCCTTTTGGTTTTTCTTTTGGAGTAGTAGTAGTAGTACTACAATATATGGGTTCCTTTTGGAGTCGTATTTACTCCATTTCTACTGATTCTGAATGTTTATTTCTCTTCAGACTTCAGAGTATTAAAAAAAAAAAAAAAAAATACTCCAATATTTTGAAATGTGGTAGTACAATTCTGCAAGTCTTTTTGGATCTACCTGTACCCTTGTTACAATTGTGTTTAACTTTGTTACAAGTACTAATGAACTCTTAAAATGTTGAATTATAATAACAATCTTATTCAACAAAAAAAATTTATTATGATAACAATAACATTACGTAGGTCTTTAACTCAAAAAAATCACTAGACAGGAGCTTTATTCAATTTTACAACCGAAATAAGAAAATAAGATTACAGTAATCCTGAACGGATTTTTTGTGTGGATAAATTAGTACTTGTATAAGGTTGCCTTGGAGGTTGTCCCAAATTCCCAATCAGATCACTATACCAATGGCTTTTTGTGTTCTATAAAGGTGTACCCACCGGTGTAAACATAAAAATCAACTCAACCAGCAGAAAAAATAAAAGGAATACCGGTTTTATAGGATGAAGTAATTGAGAAGTAAATGCACATTAATTCTCTTTCTTTAAAAAAAAAAAAAAAAAAGAGAGAGAGAGAAAGGAAAAGCAGCAGCATTGTATTGTATTTGTGTTTGTTGAGACACTTTTGTACATACCATTATTCACAAAAAACCGTGACATATTAGATAAGATTTGAATTGAAAACAAAAGTTAGTCAATATATTACGCCTTTTTGCTTACACTAAACCTTAGCGCAAATGACAATTGTTTCCAATTCATTTGCATTATTAAATTGTGTAGTACACATCATATGGGGATCTTCACTAGATATATTATTATTTCGTGTACTACATAATGTAAACGGCTATCTTCAGAATGCCCATTATGGGCCTTCTTTTCTCGAAGGCCTAGAGTAAATGACTCTAAAAAAGTTCATATGACTTTATCAGATCCTTTTTCTTTTCCATTAAAAAAGAAGGTATATTTCATGTGATCGATTGGTGTTGGTCAAGTTTCGCATTCTTGTGATTTTTTGGTGAGCAAACATTGAGCCGCATCGATTGACTGGGCAGTGGCTGGTTCAGACCCATAATTTTTGGGCTTCTTGGCTGTCTAAAATATAGCCCATTAATCCCTGACAAGCCTGAAACGGGAATATAGCGGCCCTTTATGTCTAGAAATGAAATCATTCTTGAGATGATTGTCCTTTCGACTTATCAAATAAAAGGACACATATAACTTCTTCTTCTTCTTCTTCTTTTTTCTTTTTTGAATAAATGAAAGTTGTGCACGGACTTTTAATATTCATCTTAACAAATTGCAATATATTTATGAGATATCAAAAGAAATGTTGAATTATAGAGTTATGGCATGATTATAAATACAACTAGATTCTCATCCCGGACAGTTGTCCAGCCATTATTTACTATATGAATTTGTGATTAAAAAGAGAAAGAATATCCTCTTTATTTTAAATAAATAGTTCATATTAAGTTTTAATATTTATATTAGTTTTAGTATAAAAGTGTAATTTTTGTGTCTTAATAGTAGATCCCAATTCAATACTCATCGTGATTTTGGAGTTTTGACCTTCAATCAACAAAATAATATGTTCTATTCAAAAAAAAATTAGATAGAATATAAGGATACAGATTAATGAGTACTCCTTATGTGCCCTCCTTATCAGTAGCACCCTGGTAATAGCCAAATGTCTCGTTGTGTGCTTCCTCTCTTCTTTTATTCTCTCCTCGATTGTGTTGCCGCCGCTGGACCTACATTTAGGCCTTTTACTCATTGATGAAATTTGAAGATTTTTTATTTTTAATTTTGATGATTGATGAAGATTTAAGATTCTACATATGTTTCAATTTTGAATAATGAAAAAATTTTGAATTAAATGACATTAATTAGCATACTATTTTATCATATATGAAGCAATGAGAAGACACAAAGATAAATTAGTTTTTTATTTTATTTTGTAGTTAACATGGAACGATGTAGCATTGAACTATGTAGTTAAGGAGAGAAAAATGTATTTTGTGAAGCTGCCACGTGGCTTAAGTGATAGTTACTTTCAAGAGGTAAAAAAAGATTATCAGTCCGAGTAGTTATCCGGGCACTGTTTGTAATGAATGAATTTGTAACTAAAAAGGGAAATAATACGCTCTCTATTTTAAATAAATAGTTAATGTTAAGTTTTGATATTTATATTATTTTTAGTTTAAAAATGTAATTTGTGTGTCTTAAGAGATCCCGATTAAATACGCATCATGATTTTGGAGTTTTGTCCTTCGATTGAAAAAATAATATGTCTAATTCAAGAAAATTGGATCGAATATAAGGATACAGTTTTTTTTTTTATTATGTAAACAAAATCGATAATTTAAAAAGATAGTGAATTTTATAAAAAAAATTCTTATGTAAATATAGGTCCCTTGAAAACAATAATGATCTAAAAAAAATTTAAAAAAAACTAAGAATTCTTTATAGTGATATAACATATACTATTAAAAAATTAATAGTGCTCTAAAATACAATTAAAAAAATTAATAAGAGGGTGTCGAGTTATATTTTTTCTTGAAATTTACATATAAGAAAATTTCATCTTCGATTTTCCTCTTGTATTGAAAAGTTATGGACATGTTTCGAAATCGGGAAAAGTTGGATATCTCTTAATAGAATTGAAAAAAAATATTTAAATTAATAATTTACTAATCTATCTATCTATCTATCTATTGTTTTATTACATATAATAGAGAAACCATAGAGAGAAATAGATTGATCTTTCCTAGACTGATACATACGATTTTATCCTATGTGGCATTATTTCATCAATCCAAAAAAAAAATAACTTTTTGTAATATCAAACAAAGTCCTCATAAGTATTCATGATTAAGAAATTGGCCCAATAAAATTAGTTTTGCATTAACAAGTATACATGATTAAGAAAATAGCCCAATAAAATTAGTTTTGCATTAACTATTTATAATTAGTAATTTTTTCAAATAAAAACATTACAACAACAATATACATTTATATATTAAAACAATTGCTCAATATTTCGATCTTTGTACCCACCTTTAACATTTTGATTCTGAAAGGAAATATAGAAATTTATTTGCTTATCGCATTTTTCTTTATTTAAAATCTAATAATTAATATTTTGCAAGATTTATACACATGTGAACACATATTTAAATTGTATTAAAAAAACTCAAATAAAAATATGACATACCCCACACATCGTGCGGGTTTAACATCTAGTTTATTGATAAAATAACAATTTCTAAACAGAATTATAGTGTATATATATATATATTGTATTTTAATATTCACATGTAGCAACATTGTATGAGACATCTATAGTTTAATGACTTTTACGCGGTGATGGAAACTATAAACTTTAAATATATTTCTGTCTTAAAGAGAAAATAGTTCATAATGAGTTTTTAAATTTGTATTAAAACTACAACAAATTTCAAAACTCAATATGAATTATTTTTTTAGACACAGAAATTGTAATTTTGTTTAACATCTTATACTAATAATATTTTCAAAGTGAATATCAAACAATTCGATGGTCTCCCGATAGGAAGATATATTCCAGTGAATTACTATATAAGAGTCTAATATGATATGTATTTCCACTGAGTTAAAATATCAGCAAAGCTGCATAAATGCAAACCATCGACGTAAAACATGTGATAAGATATAGTAGAAGCATTAATCGTAGAAAAGAGTAAGAAAAATACTTCTTTGATCCTTAATATAAGACATTTTGATTCGCCCTAAATTTTGTTTAATGCATTGCTGTAACTAAAATGAAAATTTAAAAATATATTTTCACATTTATTATGTTTTCTTAATTATTATAAAATATTTTTAAGGTTTTAGTTTTGACTGGAAAAACATACAAAATAAATTTAGAACATATCAAAATCGCTATATCTCTATGTATATTAAATGAGAGCTTTCAATCGGACACATAGCGTAAAATTAGACATGGTAATCCATGTGTCAAAAATTTAGATAGCCAAGTCCACATATCGCAACCACATCACTCCATCATTTAATGGTAATTTTTTATTTGTAAATCCGTAAAATATATAAATAATCAATTTTATCCAATTTAATTTATTATTTTTTACTGCAAAAAAGAAAGCAAAAGCAATAAAAAATAACGTGTAAAAACAAGATATACTTTCTAAACCGAAAGGGTAACAATTCGCACATCTAACATCTAACTTTGCATACACGTTTTTTAAACGTGTTAAATTATTGTTAATTAATATCATTAAGTTTATTAATTGGATCGTATCATTAATATTATTTTTTAATTATATTTAATGGAATTCTCCCAACCGTAAATTACACATAACTTCACCCAAACTTGTGGAGTCGAAATATCATTGCAAGGCTTCATGAATATAATAATATTAAATAACTATTCTTTATACTAATTAGATACTTCATGGAGGGAATAGTATAATATAATAATACTAAAAGTCACTATGATAATAAAACAATCACCGTATAACGGAACGAAATGTGTGGAAGAATATGTATTAAATTTAAATATAATTTAATATCATTATTATCATATAAGATAATTTTTTTTAAAAAAATTATAAGAAATTAGTATTTAAATTAATTTATCACTTAACTTGTCCAGATAAAAAAATGTAGTAAGATACATATATTTAATTGCCCAAAATTAAAATTATTTCATCATATTTAAGAAGTTAATACTCTATATCGGGCTAAATATTTTATTTTTTTTTCCTTTTTCTTTGCATACGCAGCTTAGAATTCAAGTGTGATATGCGATTTTTATCGATGAAGTTTCTAACCTTGATGAAAATTAATAAACTATAGAAAACTATATATATAAAAAAATTAATTAGATAATTCATTATATTTTTTATATGATATAATGATAGAAAAAGTTAACATTATGATGATAAAATAAAACGTAGAGATCAATAGGGAAAAAGCTTTTTAAAATGAAAAAACAAATAAAGGTCTTTGTGAAATACAATCAGTTGAAGAAAAGTATATTGAGGAATTGAAAATAATTATATGGAGGTTAAAATTATGTAGAGAATAAGAAAACGTGATAAAAGAAACCGAGAAAATAGTGAAAAATAAAATAATTATTATAATTTTTTCAAGAAATGAAACTGTAAAGAGAGGTAATCAAATTTAGGGGAAAAAAGGTGAACACTCCGCAGCCAATAAAAAAATAATTATATTGTACGAAAAATATATGAAAAACTTACTAAAGAAGGATTACAAAAATTATATAGAGTGATGAAAAATAAAAATAAGTTTATGAAAAGAAATAATGAGAAATTTTTTTTTTGATAGAGTGAGAGTTTAAAATATATGATACGGGTAAAAATGTTTAGAAAGATCATCATGAAAAATCTTTTAAAAGATATAAAGTTATAAATTAACAAAATAAAAAAAAAAGATGGACAATAAGTTACATATGATGATTTAAAATATTGAAAATTATTTCAAATGTACTTAAAATAAAAAAAAAAAACAAATTACACAACTGCAATTTGTATCATTAATAATAATTTTTTACATATATCACTCCGTCGGAAATGTCATACAATCGTTATGTCATGAAGCTCATATATATCTTGAATAACCCGCACAACGTATGGGATAAATACTAGTATATATTAAATCAACATATGTCGATCAATTAGGTAGTCCAGAATTGTTTTTGCCACATGTCAAGTTGAGAGATTTTGTTTACCACTTGTCAATGCAAGAGACACTTATTCATTAAATGGTTAAATATTGTTTGTAAATTGGTTACTTCAATTTACTTTTAAACATTTATTTCACCCATTTTTTATTATTTCCATATATATTTGAATTTTGATCTTCATGAGTTACCATATTATTAATGAGTATAAGATTCATTCCTAAAATAACTAGCAAAATAAATTAAAAATTAATCTGATTAACTACATGCATTTATTTAATAAAAAAATCAAATTTAATTCCATTTATTTAAGAAAAATTATTGAATTAGTCCCAACTTATAAATTTTAGAAATAATTACATCCCCACATATTCCATTTCATCGATTTAGTCCTTATTTATAATTCATTTAGCCAATTTTTTCTATTTAACGAGATTAATTAATCATCTAACAATATTTTTTATTTTCTATTATTAATTATTAATTTATTTTTTAATAATCGATTCTTCACTGTAAACCACCATGAAAGCTTTGAGGCTTTGACTGTCGAACATTATAAATAACAAATATTTAGTACTTTAGTAGTTCTCCGACCATCAATAAAAATTGAGATTGTATAAACTACACACTATCTCTCTATATTATTTAATATAACTTATAGATGACCTAACTTTACAATTGCATTACATTTTTTATGACTGGACAGACTTGCAATTAATTCACACATTTTTTTGAATGTGTTTTCTCCCGTTCCCATCTATTAGGCCAATTGTTTTTGCCTCATTCGTTAATCTTTAGTTGATAAGTGGGAATGATAGCACCCACTAATTCTTTTCCCCTATGTTCTTTCTCCTTGAAAATATTATGCAAGTCAAAATTAGAGATACGCTTAATTCTGCATTTATTTTTTTCCTATTGCCACCCTCGACTGCAACCCTAATTCACATCCCCAATCCTACCCCAATGACACAGTATGACCAATCAAATAGAATATTACGGTCAACAAAATGATACTCAGATGGTACCTATGGAAGCTTTGCTAATAGATAAAAAAGGTTGTTTGATTCATCCCTGATATATTCATTATTATGTTTACATATTGATTGCTATTATTTTACAAGGCAACACAATTTCAACAAATCTTTAATTTTTCTTTTTTCATTAATTTGTATGCATGCCTTTTTTTTTGGGGAGGGGGGGGGGGAGGGAGAGAGGGATTTCAAACCATGTATGAAGTATTCTAATTTTCTAAGAATTCAATCAAATTGATCAAACATGAATAATGACAGCAAGGGAGGTAGCCGTTGAAGAGGGGCGCAGTTTCATATAACGTGGAAAGTTTTGAGAAATAATTGCAAGACTACACGTTAATGTGAATGATAGTAGTAGGGAAAAATGAAGAATATCATGACGAATCCATGTGATGGGAGTTATATATGTGTTCTCTTTTCTTGTTTATAAATAAATTGTTGATGTCCTCCATTTAAATAGTAATTATGGAGTTGTTTTCGCAAAAAAAAACCCTTCATTCTAAGTTACTTAGAAAAAATAAAGATTGATTTATCTTATTATGGTTTTATTGGTTGTTGATTTTTTCTTTTTTTTTTTTCGGATTTCACCCAAAAGGTCCATGTATCAAAAAACGACAGTGGTTAATACCGGTGTTTTAGTCCAAAAATACCATGAATATATGTGCCTCTAAAATTTTGATTATTTGTATCATTGAAAGATAAATATTTTGTATTTTAACTTGCTAACCATAATGTGGAATTGGACACATAATCAGAAGAAGAAATGTGTTTTCATAGAACTCATTTTAATACTTTATCTTTTTTTTTAAAAAAAAAAACCAAATATTTAGGTAGTACGTATAAGCTTAGGTCTTAATTCATCTAAACTTTGAATCTCATAGAATTGTATAGTAATATTTAATTAGGAAAATATATACTTTTGAATGCTTTTAATGACCAGATGCTTTCACTACTGACCGGAGAGGGCAAGGATTGTTACAGTTCTTGATAGTAAGTTTTGCATAAAGTGAAAAGTTTGTTAACTGTAAAAATGATGAGGTGTATACTCCAGAATTCGTTGACGGAATAAGGTATTCTGGTATGTCGAACCACAAGTTGAGGTTGAAAAGGGTAATACGTATCATGCTTTTTTGAAATCTAAACAACCTAAGCCGACAATGCAACGGCACCAGACTTCAGCTTGACGAGTTGGGTAACCGCGTCATCTAGGAAATTATTATGTACAAATAAAATATAAAAAAAAATTCATTCCATGCATGGACATCCAACCATCCGGTGTAAGGATACCGATTAGATTCTAGAGGAGATAATTCCCAATTGTTGCGTGTTTTTTTTATAATGATCAATAAGAGTTAGGGTCGATCACTCTCGCAAGAGGGCTTATTTTTGTCACGTCCAGTCTTTGCCCATGGACAATAATGTATTGTATTTTTTAAAGTGAAATTTAGACAAGGTCTCAAAGTAGTTATATGTAGCAGGGAAGGAAAATTTAATCGGACGAAAAATATTATTTATAAAGAATCACTCTAGATAAATGTTTATTAGCTTTTCCGATTTAGATTCATTTCATAGTTGTGTCCCTAACATTATATACTATATTCCGTCTTTTATTGCGTCAATACAGTTTCACAATTACAAAACATTATTCTTCGATATTTAAATAAGAATGATCTCTCAATCCGTGCAACACACGGATATAAACTAGTAATTTATAATAAGGAGGAGAGGGTGTATTATAAAGCATGCTTGTCTGAATTTCATGCGAGTTGTATCGACGGTTCATGTTCATATCCATACATTCATCCTGCTTTGGTTTAGCGTGCCAAATTTCCAATTGTTTTTCTTCATTCGTTGTCAATTATGTGCATTCTCCGTTTAGCTACTCCCTTCGGTTTTTTTTTATATATATATATAATCCATAAATTCTATATTAGTATATTTTAAATTTATTATCACCAGATATTAACGTTCTGGGTTGATCCCTAATCGGTTGGTAATCGGCGACCCATAATCTCATCAACACTTCCGGACGGCAAATCCAGTTCTCTGACTTTTGGCGGTCAAAGACATTACTGAACGTTCGAAAATGCCCCCTTCTAGGCCTAATGCCGTCAGGATAGCCGTGCAACTGAGCAGGGGTAAATTTGTCATTCAAGTACCAGAGGCTGTTCAAAACAATATTTAGTGGGAGTATTTTATTTGCAGCCAAGCATATTTTCCTAAAGAACAAAGTTAAGCACCTTATTTCTCCGCGCGTAAAGATCAGTCGCTAGGGCTTTTTCCCTCAAGGCGAGATTTCGCAAGATTGTGATTCAAGCTATGTACGGATCGAGGGGGTAAGCTTCTAAGCTCAGAATTGTTCTGGTTTCTAATACTATCTGTGTTGTATTTGTGATTATTGGTCTGATGCTGTACGATATTGTTCCTTTCTATCTTTAGCGATTGATGTCAGGATTATTTAAGAGTTTGGTTTTTCTACTTGGGTTTTTTGTGGGTTAATCTTTCTGTTTGTTGATGTCGAATTTGCTTCCTGCGGAAATTAATCAGAATAGGTTTCTTTTGGTAAAACTCCGCATTGTGAATTATAAAAGTGTTTGCTTCTGGATGAATTTTGATTCTGTTTCAAGTCGGCACGATTCATGTCAGTTCCTTTGTTATTTGGTGTGTTTCATTGCGGGTCATGTAGGAATTGGGGATAAGCTGGTTTTTTTGACCACCTAAGGCTCATTTTGTTTTGGAAATTACTCTGAAATCATATGATATGCTTTCATTAAAAGTTAACATTGGTTCTATATGATAAACTATGGCGTCAAGCTTGTTAAGATGAGTATGAGCAATTTTTCATTTGGGTCCAAGGATAACTGATGCATATTTAGTGGTAAAAAGTTGATCTTTTTATATTCAAGTTTCCCAAATTTCTCAAATTTGGACCATCTATTATTGAGGCAAGCGTGGCATTCCTGTTTCACCTTTCTTGGTCACTGTACTGTAGCCTTTTGATTATCATTCTTGGCCTGATGCTTTAATTATCTAAGTTCATAAACAGTTTTTCTTGGATCACTTAATATGAAGTGATGAAAGATAACCTTATGTGGTATTTGAAAACCTTCAAATTCTAGTTTCTCATACACCAACCTGTGAATGTTTTCATCTCAGGCTAATGTAATAATGTGACATGTCAATCGTAATGTTAGATGGTTGTCTGATGCACTGTGTTGTGGTTTGCCTCTTTTTTTTTTTTTTTTTTTTGTGCATGTTGTTTCTCGGAACCTCTTTTTTTTTGGTCTGATGCGAACTTGTTCTGGTTGCTTCTTAGTTTGTTAACGGTATCGCACATTATAGTAGTTCTGACTTAAATGTGTTTGGTTTGTGTATGTGGTTAATGAAGTTGTTATTTTTCTATTCTGGTTTATCATGTGACTGTTCCTCATATTCAAGTGTATTGCCGTGTATGTATTGTTATCTTTCTAAGGTGGGTTGTGCGCAAGTTTGAGTACTTTATTTTTAGACGTTAGGAGTTGGCACTAGGTTTTAGGATCAACATGGGTTGGGTTTGGTTTTATTAACAAGGTTGAGTGGGGGTTTCTCCTTTTTTTTTGGGTATGAATAACTGAAGGGCAATGTTGGGGAGCGGGGGGGTTTCGGACGGGTACGAGATCGGCTCAAAGAGACCAAGAATGATGGAATCAAATCCCTACTTCGCAGTGAGCAGCGGTCCAAGTGGTTTTCAACCCTATGGCTTCAGCAGTGGACCCGTGATGTTTCCAGTGGTTCGTCTCAGAGGCCTTCCCTTTGACTGCTCTGATATTGATGTTTTCAAGTTCTTTGCTGGGCTTGATATTGTGGATGTATTCCTGGTAAGCAAGGGTGGGCGATTTTCTGGAGAAGCTTTTGTTGTCTTTGCATCTCCTGTGCAGGCTGAATATGCTCTCCAGAGAGATCGGCAGAATATGGGAAGGAGATATGTTGAAGTTTTCAAGTGTAAGAAGCAGGATTATTATAATGCTATTGCAGCTGATGTACACTATGAAGGTAGTTATGATGATTACCGAGGATCATCACCTCCAACGCGTCCAAGAAGGTCCCTAGACAAGGATAAGTTGGACTACACAGAAGTACTGAAGCTACGTGGCCTTCCTTACTCTGTCAAGAAATCAGAGATTGTGAAATTTTTTGGAGATTTTAATCTCACTGAAGATAAGGTACACATTGGATACCGGCATGATGGAAAAGCTACCGGAGAGGCATTCGTTGAGTTTGCTTCAGCTGAGGAGGCTAAGAAGGCTATGCGAAGGGACAACAAACTGATTGGCTCACGTTACATAGAGCTTTTTCCTTCGACACCTGATGAAGCCCGACGTGCAGAGTCAAGATCAAGACAGTGATTAGAGAAATATCTAGAAGCTTGTTTTTCTAAAGTGGTAGCTGATGTATTAGTAGCGTGGTTTTACTTTTTATCTCATACATTGATTTCATATATATGAGATATCTGTATCCTCCTTTTTCAATTGATGTATGTCTCTGACAATTTCGGTTTGGATGTCATTGTGTTATGGGATAATCTTTCGATTTGCGAATTGTGATTTGGGTAAGAACTGAGAGCGCTTCAGTGACAAAAACTGCTGTACAAATCAGTTTTAAAAGAAAGAAAAATAAACTTAATCGTGCAATTTGCTAATTGTGATTTGAACTCTTCAGTGCCAAAAACTACTACCAAAATTAAGCAAAGAAACTATAAAACTGTCTCAAATTAAAACAAAGGAATGACTTCTTCCAAAAAAAAAAAAAAAAAGAAAAAGAAAAGAAAGAATGACCGGAATAAAATTTACGCCTACCCTTTGTTGGGGAAAAAGAAAAACCAAGGATAAAACGTTGCTTAAACCCAAAGCCTTTTTTCCACGGCAATTCAAGTTTCAACCCAGAGTCTCTCTGCGATGGAGGACTGGTCTTGTTACCCGCCCATAGAACCCAGCAACTTCGACCTAATCATCGTCGGCACCGGTCTCCCTGAATCCATACTCGCCGCTGCCGCTTCTGCTGCCGGCAAAACTGTCCTTCACCTTGATTCCAGCCATTCTTATGGCTGCCACTTCGCCTCTCTGTCTCTCCAAGACTTCACCGATTTCCTCCAAACCCACTCTAAAACCCAATCTCCCCTTCCCGAAATCGAACCCAGTTCCGGAGAATGCAATGTCCTTCCTCTTGTTACTCGTCCGGTGTATTCATCACTCGAAGTTAACGTATATTCCCCGGAAATCATCGAGAAATCAAGCAAGTTCAGCCTGGATTTGGCTGGTCCTCGGCTTATGTTCTGTGCTGATTCGATGGTTGACTTGATTCTGCAAACTGACATAAATCAGTACATGGATTTCAAGAGTGTGGAATCGAGCTTTATTTGTGAAGGGGATGACTGTAATTTGTGGAGTGTGCCCGATTCGCGGAGCGCCATATTCAAAGATAAAGTCTTGAGCTTTACTGAGAAGAATCAGTTGATGAGGTTCTTCAAGCTGGTCCAGAAACACTATGAAGACAAGAGTGATGAAGCAAACGCAAAAATTTCGGATGAGGATTTAGAAAGTCCGTTCGCGGAGTTTATGAGCAAAAAGATTGGGATGTCCTCGAAGCTAAAATCGTACTGATCAATTCGCTTTCCTCAGCTCTTTTTCTTTATCGTCTGTTAGTCAGATTTCTTGTTCAATTACATCAGTTTCACTATAATTGTTTAGTTGCAATTTTATTTGTTTGCATCATACTGTTCTTCTTTCTATGTGCTGGATGAAGATGACTTGCCTGAATGAGTCGTTAGGAGTGGTGATTGTGCTGTTTCCCAATAGTCAAAGAATGCTTATTTTCGATTTTTGCTTAACCTATTCATGATCCGCTTTTTGGACTCTATTTTTGGGTTCTTTGCCTTTAGTTTCATTGTATCAATCTTCTAACATTCAATTTGTTTTACACGTCCAGGGTTATCTTATATGCAATTTCGATGGCAGACTATGAACAAGACAGTGTGGAACAATGCAAAAACGTTCTGAAGACAAAAGAAGGATTAGACCGTCTCATACTTTATCATGCATCAATTGGCAGGTTTTTTCTTATGCCTTCTTGCTTTGATGTTTGGACACTTGTACCTTGTCTCTTAGATTTATTTCATATTTTACCTTTATTTTATCTCGATGGTATCCCCTAGTATTTGCATCCCCTATTTTTTGCCATTTGAATTTCTTCAACCATACTTATTGAGGACTAGTCTGCATAGAATTACAGTTAGGTAAAGTAAATAATGGCACTCAGTTCGTGATGCATTTTCATCCACCAGAATGGATCCTAATAGCTCTTCTACCTTTTTCAGTTTTGAATTTCAGTATCTTTGTTATGCAACAAATTTACCTGAATTCCTCCACTTGGTTTTAACTGTTGATAATTTCTTGAATAGTCCTCAAAGATTGAAACCACCAGACTGTTTCTTCTCGTCTCTTATTGCTGATTTGTTTCAAGTGGATCTAGTCTTACTGATTTTACTTTCTCTGCGTCTCATTATTTCTGTTTTTAGTAAGGAGCAGTTCCACTTAAAGCTATTTTGAAATATCGTGCAATAAAGTTCATTTTAGTTGAGATGCATCTGTCATCCAGTTTGTCCTTGGTACATTGCCTGCAATTACTAGTTAGCTACTGTTTGTTGAAGCCGAGTTCTCTGTTATTATGTTTTTGTCTGTTAATATATCCTTTTCTCATCCAAATGGATGAGTCTGAGTTTCCTCACTTTTGTTGCACCACTTCCTTTATAGATTTCCTAATGCGCCTGGTGCAATGATATATCCCATGTATGGGCAAGGAGAACTTCCACAGGCATTTTGCCGGCGAGCTGCTGTCAAAGGTTGTCTTCATGTAAGGTCATATACCCTGCAAAATACTGTTAAGTTTGGTCTAGTTTTCTTTTGCATGGTTGTGGTTTTTCCCCCCTCCTTTATCTTCTCCCCTTTCAATTAAATTCAACTTCTGGATGTGGAATTTGTTCTAGAATCATGTGCACCAATATCTCTAAAAGGTTATACAATGCCATTGTTTCTTTTATTTCTGATTATAGATCTAATATGCGACTGGGATCTGGTGTTGTGTGTCACTTGTTATAATTTCAACATCGAGATTTGTTGGATTGCTATCTTTAACATTCACCTTAATTTGGTAATTTCTTTTGTAGGTTTTGCGGATGCCTGTGGTTGCTCTACTTGTGGATAAGGTTTGATTTCCCCCTTGTAGTTTATTTACTTAGTATTATATTTGCCAGTTAGCTCCTCTTAATGACATTTGAACCAAAAAATGCTAGGTTGTGAGGAATATCTGATTTTGTACTGATAGTTTTTCGTATTTTGCAGGATGTTGGTAGTTATAAGGGTGTTAGGTTGGCTACTGGTCAAGAACTATTCAGCCAACGGCTTATCCTTTCTCCTTCATATGTTGTACCATCCGGATTGGTTCGTCCTCCAAATCCTCTGCAAGAAGGCATAAATGATATGGGTACAGCAGATGCTAAGCAGAAGGTCATCAGGGCAATATGCATCACAAAAGCTTCGTTAAAATCGGATGTGGCTAATTGTCTGGTTTTCCTTCCCCCTCAATGTAAGATCACATTTTGAAATGCTAATTTCTTTCTTGCCTTGGCTTTTGAACTTCCTTCTTCTTTTCTTTGGTTTGACCTGATTTTCTGTTAATAGCTTTGTGCCCAGAGCAGCAGACATCAATCCGAGCCTTCCAGCTAAGCAGTAATGTGGCTGCTTGTCCCCCTGACTTGTAAGTTAATTCCTCAATTCGCCTTGTTGATACTTGGGACCCGATACCCTAGATTGCCAATGCTACAGAGTTCCAAACCCAAAACCAATATACGTGTCATATTGTTGGGTGCTTACAAGAAACTATAAAATGTAGAGATTATTTCGTAAATAGCCCTTGAATGTTAGTCTTGCCCTTTTGAGGGTTCTTTGTGCTGATCTTTTTGTCTAATGTTTTAAGTTGTGGAATCAGTCTTTTAAGGTTGGTTATCCTTATGGAATCCTTCTTCGGAGACTAAAATGTGTTGTTGGCATTTGTGTGCCTTGCAGGTTTGTTGTTTATCTGTCAAGTGTATGCGAAGATGTCGTTCAAGGGAAGAAATTGATGAATTTAGCCATAGATGCTTTATTTACAGTTCCCGTATCTAAAGATCCTGATGAAAATTGTACAGAGCACGACAGTGAGTTTACAACAACAAAAGTTAAACCCACTTTACTTTGGAGTATCCTCTATGTGCAAGATCAAACTGCGGTTAGTCTTCTGTGTGGTTTGTTTTTCCCTTTGAGATTGTATTGCTAAGATGGTGCGTTATGATGTTGTGTCACATTTGTTATTCATCGCTGCAGTATTTTTTGACTCAATATCAATTATCCAGCTGATTGGGACTTGTTGTGTTGGTCTGTGCACTGTAGGTTGAAATTGATACTGTTAGTTCAACCTTTATGCCTGATGGGACTCTTCTGTACAACAATCTTCTTGAAGCAACAACTAAGGTACATGACGATTCACTCAGGATTTTGAAAAACACGACTCCATCTTGATTTACAGATGAATCTTGTTTGCACATTAAAATGCTTATGGAGGTATCACTTGTGCTATTTATGGCAGCTCTTTCAGACAATGTACCCTGGCGAGGTTTTCCTTCCAAAGGCAACTTCATCTGATACTGTTGTGGAAGATGTAGAGTCTGATTTGTAGCTACAAGCACCTGGTTCTGCTAGAATGAAGATTCTTAGAACAAAGGAAATGAGATTGAAACCCGGACTGTTGATGCAGCAGAATGTATCTAATTACGTGGTGGTTGTCTCTAAGGAGTCCATTTCAGCTTTTTTTCGATCGCCATTTTCACTGGTGGGGGAACATATTTTTGGCGGGTTTCACCTCGCGAAGGCGGCAAAATCATGTTCTTATGCTGTCTTCCTTCTTCGGCATTTCTCCACTGACGATTGTTAGTGTCTCAAGTCACAGCTCTTTGATCAACATAGTTATACATAGAGAAAAAGATAGCCGCTAGCGTAATAGTTTTTTTTTCAAAAAATTTTCTGATTGTTTCTATTTTTTTAACTCATATAAGTTTTGGTGCCGGATTTCACCATGTACAGTATTTATGCCTTTGATGGCTTACGTTTGACTGATTGGAAATTGAAAAAGAAAAACCAAGAGAAAGATGTTGGGTAGTTGGGCAGTAAATAACTAAATAAGTGCTTTGCTCGGCAGCTCGGCAGCACAATATTTCACCAGTTTTTTTACTTTATTTTCTTTAACCTGAGTACGCAACGGCGTCAATCGCCACATTGGGCAGGAAACAGTAAATAAATGTAGTACGATGAGATAAGACGGTTCATATGCAAAAAGTAAATTTTTTTAATATGGGGTGTGTACTTTGTGCTATGAGAAATGTAACGTAATCCTTTTCACAGAGGGAAAAAAAAAAAAAAAGGTGGAAGTCCAAGCATTATAAACATGTCGTCAACGTGAATCGTATCCCCTGTCATTTTCGGTTCGCTCGTGCCTCGTGCATCTCCATTTTCCGTTTTAGAATAAAAGCTTCAAAATAAAATGAATAAGTTTTTTCGTCCAAAGTGATAGTTGGAAAATTTATTTTTGTGGAAATAATACTCCATCCGGTTCTTATAAGGATTTTTTTATTTTGTTTTAAGTTTCAGTTAGTACGTATTTTTAATTGACAAAAAAATCTTAAAATTATATTTTCACATTCGTTGTGGTTATAAAATTAAAATGACTTATATTAAGAACCGGAGGGAGTATTACAATATTAATGACGAACCAAAATTAAGTTTTTTAGTATACATATTTGAATCAATTCTCATTATAACGAAGAAAGAAAAGAGCACAAATTTCTATGTTTCTACTTGTAGTTAAGGTGGTGAATGCGCATGAGCTTTGGTCCAGGATGAATGTCTCAATATTTACACCAACAGACAAAAGAGGTTAGAAAATAAATCCCAAGAATTGCATTTATAAAAATATTGACTTTTAATGATTATTCTAATAATTCACTGCTTCTTCCTCTCTCTCACACACACACATTTCACTTCTTTTGCTTCTCTTTTCTCTGTGTGTGTGTGTGTGTGTGTGAGTCTGAAGAGTCTCCCTTCTCTAGGAAGTGACAACTGAGACTCATGCAAGCCTACTTCTCTGAGACAAGCTTTTTCTACTTCTGCTTCTTCTCCCTTTTCTTCTTTTCTTCTCACATCATTTCTCCTTCTCCTCTCAACAGTTACCATTCTTCCTCCTCCATGGCCCCTTCATCCTCCTCCTCCTCCTCCTCCTCACTCAAAGCTCTTGTTGTCTTCCGCAACCGCATTCACACAGGTTGGCTATAAAGATGGCATTTTTTTTAATATACATCCCTCGTGATTGTTTATTGTTTTCTAACCCCATTTGTGTTTTCTGTTTGATTTTTCCCCTGTTTCAAGATTCTGTTGGTTTAATTACTGCAAAAATCCATGTGGGCTGGTGTTCAAAATGAAGCCACCCATTGATTTTTTGCATGTTGGTGATTTTGTCGTTTCGTTTCCTTTCTTTTAATTTATTTGGTGATTAATTTTGTTGTTTTTTTTGTGCAGAGCTGATCAGAACCGTTCATGTGTATCAATTGGAGGGAGGAGCAGAGGAGGTGACAGAAAGAGAGTATGTGTTCCGTGAGAACATTGATTATGAGGAGATGAAGTATCCGGGCAGAGTTTTCACTCTGCGCAGGTTTGATGTCTCTGCTCAATATCAAGGCCTGGAGAATGGTGTCTGGGATTGCATTTATGTGTTTAATTCCACCCTGCCAGATCATCCTAATTTAGACCACCTTCCTGAGGATTTGTCTGTTGTCAGGTATTTGAATTTTGATTAATTTTTTGTTCATCCAACGAGTAATTGTTTTGAAAATGGAATCTTTGTCTTCTCAGCTTTAGTTATTGTGCTCCAGCGATTAACTTTGAAGAAGTGGGTTTTTTTCACCATTTGGATGAATTTTACCTGATTACGTCTGAGGCCATTCTGTTTGTTCTTACTATCAAAATGTGGCTTATGATTGTGTTTAATCTTTAGAATACTCCGTTTGTCTTAAGAGACTGAATGGGTAATCTCTTCCAATTCTTCAGTTTTGTCCTAATCTGATTTCTTATTTCTCATTTTATATCTATGTAGCAATCCTAAGTTGGCCACAATTCCATCGTTGGCTAATGACCTGGAAGTGATTTTTCACTTGGGAAACACTTCTGAATATGTGGATTCATCAGAGGTTTTGGCTGAGGAGGAAAGTGGCAACCTGCACAGTGAGGAAGGCCATCGCCCTCGCGGGAATCCGCAGGTGCCTCTCTTGGACCTCAACTCCCTTCCTTGTGGCGAAGCTGAAACTGAAGACATTAACCCAAGTGTTGCAGGTTAAACTTCAAACTCTTTGTTTGAATATATGAAGATGAAGTTTGAAAAGTGTATGGTTACTTTTCCTGAACCTTCTTAGTTAATAAAGCTGAAAACCTTTCAGTCTCAAGAACAAAATATTTCTCAGTCATAATGACAAATTACTATCATGTTTATCGGATATCTTATGATCTGTGATTTTACTGTCTGGTTTACATTTAGTGCATGTCTCAGCTATGTGTGTTATGATACAGTAAAACATTCTATCTCGTATATCCTTATGAAATGGACCAAATGGTCATGTGTGGAATTAAACATGGAAACACTATTCACTGTGAAAGTAACTTCTGATACATTTAGTCATTACCATTCCAGAGTGGGATCTGAACTGGTGTAAGTAAATAGGTTTTGATGTTAGATAAAAAATATTGTTGATTGCAGATATAGGTAAATTTAGTGATCCTACACAGTAAAAGCCAAAGTTGAGTAAAGGCTGTTTGAAAATTCAAAAACACATCTTTGAATGTTAGATCGATAGCAGCGTGTCAAAAAAGCGACAACATCGGTAATACAAATGTAAAAGCGAACGGTTTGAGTTGTCAGCTTCTCCTTAGCAGATTGAACAACTCCTTTCGATGCTTTCAAAGTGTTAGCACCATGGACACGTGGTGGCTGATCGAACAGCTGGAACCAGAGCTACTTTGTGGTCTTTGACACAAAGTAACGGCAGACTGAAAGCGAAACGTGTAATGTTCACTCACCATCCGAAGAAGTTACTTTCTTAGAAACTTTAGCATTGAAGAAGTTCTTGGACAAACTTATATAATACTAACAAGGCAATCATTCATTAGAGGCACTTTTAAAAATAGTCATTTTTACATCTTGTGTGAGTCCTCCTGTGGACGTTAAATATGAAGAAAGGGAAGTGTAAGAGGCTTATGTTCCATCTGTTTTGCTTTCAAGTAGTAGCCAAACATTGTTCTTCATGCGAAGAATCGTAAATGAGAGCTCCACTAGAATTGAAAGATATAGAGTTTAGCTCTTGGATATTCATCATCTGCTGAACTTGTTAACATTTGTTTTTATTTGCCGGCTAGCTAAGACAAATAATAAGACTCTACATAGCAACAATTGAAGATTATAACCAATGCTTCTTTAATTTGCAAATATTATCTTCAATAGCTTTAGTGTGTAATAGGAAAGCTATATTACAAAATGTTGATTGCGGTCGGGTATGAGTCGTGTTAAATGTAGACGTACGACCAATTATGTATTTTTTTTTATCTTTACCGGAAACAACTTACTGTTGATTGCCACGTATAATTTTTTTTTTCTTTTCTTTTTTCTTTTTTTGTTTTTGTTTTCTGTTCCTTTTGTATACGAGTTATTGCTAAGTCAATACATGGAAAATTTCAGGTAGAGGACAAAAGAAATTGAAGAGAGCCGCTACCAAAGATATAGCGAGAATTGCATTAGAAGATCTCGCCAGGCATTTTGATGTTCCCATCATTGAAGCTTCGAAAAATCTTAAAGTCGGTCTTACTGTACTCAAGAAGAAGTGTCGAGAATTTGGTATTCCTCGTTGGCCACATCGGAAGATAAAATCCCTTGAGGGTCTCATTCGGGACCTCCAGGTCAGTTCACTCCACCCGTAGTGTTTTTGAACAAACAATATTGTTCTCCAGTATCTTATTTTGGTAGTGACTTTGAATGCTCATTATATTTCTTCAGTATCCTATTTCTGCAGTGTCTTTGAATGCACATTATATTTCTTCAGTATCCTCTTTCTCTCTACATTAGCGATTCCTGTTCATTCTATAATCCGTTCAAGTCCAGTTTTTCTGTCTATCTATTTAGAGTTCAATAGTCAAAGCTTTCTACATGTCCTAAGCATTTAAGTAGTATTACACCAAATTGACTAAAATGAGGTTCAGAACATAGGATCTGGCGAATTAGTCCGATTCCATGGTTAATTAGGGATCGGTTTCAGATTTCAATTGGGGTTGCAGTTTACGACAAGTTACCATATGTGATTAAATTCTTTTTTCAATGCATTCATCCATTTTCTCAGATCTGTTGGTGGCTTAATATGATTCTGGTTCCTGGACCAGGCAGTTATTTGTGAATACGTTGTTGAGGAAACTCATAAAGCAAATTACATTTAAGAATCAATATGTACAGTCTTTTTATGAAACTTTATGTGTATAGAATTGGAGAACTATCAACATGGTGAAACATCAGTACTTGTACGAAACTATGTTTCAGGACAACATTGCAAAACATGAGATTGTTGTAGCAGACCTTATTTGTTCAGTTGAAACTGTGTACAACCGATATTAAATGTGACATAAATGATTCAGGATGGAACTTATCATAAATACTTCACCATGAGTATGGATGGGACAATCTCTAAACGTAGCGTTTTGATATATATGCAGGGAGAGGTAAAACGGCAGCAGGAGGAGGATGAGGTTGCAGCTATGGCAGTAGCTAAGAGGCAGAGAATGATAGAAAGTGAAAAAGAAAGCATAGAGAAGAAACCATTTTTGGACATACAATGGGAAACCAAGAAATTCAGGCAAGACATTTTCAAGAGAAGGCATAGAGCTAGAGCACATGAAAACCAATCGAGGACATTGTCTTTGTTCTAGAGAATGATAATGACATCATAACAAGGGATAGAGGGCTAACCATATGAGAAACTGTACAAAGCTTTGATCCTCATGTGAAATGTAAACTTATTCCTGTTACTTGAAAATTTTATCATACTGGGAATTCTTGTTAATTATCATTAGTACTTCATGTTGTTTTGAGTTCCCTGGTTCTTTTTCCGTCTATCAGGCTTTTGCCGTGTGTTGAATTCTTTAGTGGTTTCTTTCAGGTTTTATGGTGATCCATAGGTCCTTGACATATAGTATTAAACGTGGATCAGTTTTAGGTAAGCTTCCCCTTGTGTCATCGTAGGGTATCAATTGGAGACTTTGGTCATGTAATGAATGAGTGCCCTGCAGAAACATATGGAAGAAAACAATGCAGAATGTCTGCCATTCTGCCAATACTTCTGCAGCCGCCAAAAGCCGGGGAATTGTTTACTGTTGTTTTTGTGTCTGATTGAGTCTCTTCGTATTTCAACCTGAAGAGACAATCTGAAGATTGACTTCACAAAAGTACTGAAATTAAATTTAGTGTTTTTTTTTTTAAAAAAAAGATACCTATATTATTTAACTTATAAAGTACCTATACTATTACATCTCATTCGGTTATAAGTTAAATTATGTGTTTCAACAACATCAATTCTAGCCACTTTAGTCAGTGTGCATAACTCAAAGGAGAAAATTAAAGCATCTAATAAAAGTAAGACCTCGCGTGATTCCGATTGTACAAGAGAAGACGTACGATCGTTTGTGAGAACCTCGTAATCCGTGAAAACCTGAACTCTATTGAGGCCAAAGTTTGCCGCTTCTTGTAAGGTCAGTAGACATGTCTGGGCTTCTGTTTATAGCGGTGCATTAAATCTCACTGTTTTCACTTGCATATCATGCCATGAGGAGACACAATTTTCCAGGCTCCTGCTACCTTCCTTGATTGATGACTATAAGAACCATCAAAGATGATCAAGATTGTATTGGCTATTCGTTGTGTAGCACTCTGTCTTTGGTTTCATATGTGGGTCTGTTGATGTAGTCTGCATACTTTAGATTGAATTAAGCTCCAAGATATTGCAGGATCATGTACTTGATTCTTCCAAATTCGATCATTTCGATCTAACTAGATACGCCACATAATCATCAATAAGAGATAAACTTCTTGTTTAGATGGATGATGTGAGCACCAGACGATGAACCATTGAAATAAGGAATCATAGGTGGAGTTGGAAATTAAACCAAAGTTGGGAAAGCCAGAGCCCAAAGAGCTTGTGACACCTCATACTTAAGGAATAGATGTGTACTATCCTCTTCTTCACAAAAGCACCGTGAACAGGTTGTATCCAATTGAACACCTCTCTTGCTTAAATCCTTTCTGGTAGCCAGTGCATTAAGTAAAACGCGTCAAAATAAAAACTTTCGTTTTGGTTGAACCTTGGAATTCCGGAGGCTCTTCAAAAGTAGTTTTTCGGCTTGCCCTATTACAGGATCATGCATAGGTTGAGGGAGAGAGGAATTAACGGCCACTTGATAACCTATTTTAACTGTATAATGGCCATGATCAGTGTGTAGTCATTGTAAACAGTCCTGCTGAGCTCTCCTTGCTAGATCAATAAAGATTCCAGTAATAATGAAAACTATGTGATCGAGGAAGAAGTTCTTTAGTGCTCGAATTCTCCAATGACATGATGGAGTAATAAACTGATCAACTCTCATATTTGCTATTGATAACACAAATTGAGGGAAGATCGGGTTAGAAACCCCCAGAATCCAGTTTGCTGAAAGGAGAGTGTTCTTGCCAGAGATGATTTTGGACCTTAGGTTTCCTTGTAATAGTTCAACACCCCAAAGAATACTACGAAATCCCCAAGAAGGAGTTGTTGGCATGTCTGCAGGCGGGAAAACTCCATTCAGACAGTATTTAGCACAGAAAAATTTGCCAAAAGAGATTGTGGTTCTGTCATGATCTTCCAAGCATGTTTTGCCAACAAGGCCTGATTGAATTCCTTGGTAACCTTTAATCCAAGTCCACCATAAAACTGGGATTTAGCAATTTTCTTCCAAGAATGCCAATGGATTTCTTTCTCTTGAATATCCCCCTTCCATATAAAGTTCCTAATAATCTTATCCACTTTAGAAAGAGTTTGATTAGGATTAAATTAGTGTTAGTTTGTAGTCGTGATTTGTTTCTAACAACAATTAATGTAGTACCGAATCTGCACATTTTCTAACATAATATAATGTACTACTAGATTTTGGATCCGTGCGTTCGAATGGGTACATGATAAAATAACGTTTTTTGTATGGGTAAATTCAAATAAAGATTTTTTTTCATCTAATTTTTTTTTTATATATAGAATAATAAACATGTAAAAAATTGTTTCTATCTAAAAAAATTTAAACTGAGAAAAGGAACATGTAGCGAGCATATTATGTTATTTTTTGCTTTAAAATAAATATTGCTTTAATGTATTTTCAAAGACAATTACATCATAATAAAAAAAACTTCATTAGCACTTCATAAAATGTGTTACAACCTTTTAATCTTTATAGCTACGAAGAATATTATTTTAGTTTATTTTATATAAATTTTTTTTTAGTTTTTTATTTTAATTTATGGTGACTTCCAATAGAGCGATTTTTATGGATAGAGTGACACTTAGAATTTTGGATAAAAAATAGTTTTTGCTATAATGAGATTATCCCTTTTACCCTATTAAAGCAGAATACATGATGTTGATATGGCAACTTATTAAAAATTTTTAGCTCCAAATGCACCATATTACATAAACCATTTTGCCATGTGTCATTCTCTTTCTAAAACAAAAAATAAAAAATAAACTTATTTCTAGATAAAAAAAACTTCTAAAACACATTTTCGGATCACATTAAATTTCTACAAATTAGTGAAAATTAAAATTCAAAGCCCTGAGTTAAATTCCTTCCAAACTGTTGAGCACTTCCATTTTCACAGAAGGCATCCAAAAAATCGACATATTCAACCATTATTTCAATTCCCCTTCAAATCTCATAAATAACTCTAACCAAAATTTTACTTTAAATTCATATCAAAAGGTTTTAAATTAAAAATTTTGCTCCCATGTCTCCAGGCAAACAAAAAACACAAAAGCTTTAATGAAATTTATTGTTGTTGTGATCTTTATTTTTGATTTCTTACAATTTGATTCCTATATTATTTTGATTAGTTTAAAAGATTCGTTTTTTATATAATCAATTAAAAGATCCTAAAATTTAGATGATAATTTCAAATAAATATCTTTTCAACTTCATCTAACATTAAATCTACTTATAAATATAATTATTATTTCTATGATTACACATTATAATATATATATATATATGTATATATAACCACATACGTATTCCACTTAAATTAGAATTTCCCTTTCCATTTCTAAAAGAATTACTTATAGTGGAAAGAGATGCCCGGGCAAGCATCTAGTTATAGATTATAGATGACCTTGTTAGCCTGAATGGAAGGCCCTGAAGGCTGAAACAAACTTTTTGGGTACTCCGAAGTCTCGTAATCTTAGATTATTCTCCAGGTCCAAGGACTCCCTAGTAGGAGAAAACGTCCCAATGATATCTGGTGCATGAACCTCAATTTGATGGTTTTCCCTCTTTTCTCAAGTTCGGTGTGTTTTTTTTTTGGGTGGAAAATCACTCTGCATTAATTAACGATCATAAATTAGAGAAAATATATATTCTAGTGTAATAAGAAAGATTTAGCTAGTCTATTTACCGTTTTCCACTATTTTTCTAGATACCTCTCCAATTCTTAATATAAGGCGTTTTGATTTGTTTGTGATAAATTTCATTTAGTATTTTTTTTCTATTGAAAACTTTAAGAATATTTATAATAATTAAGAGATTACAATAAATGTGAAAATGTATTTTTAAGGTTTTATTTTCAATTAAAAAAAATACTAAACAAAATTTAGACAAATTGAAATGACTTATTACAATAACGGTAAAAGTACTTAAGAAAGAAGACAGCTTTCTAACCTTAGAACTGCTTCCTGACAGTTTGATTTATTTATTTTTGGTTAAAACCCTGAGTTTTATTGACTGAGCTAAGGAGTAGTAATATTCTATATTCTACAGTGATCCAATTAGGGCAAATTTTTGTTTTCAAAGAAAAAAGAAAAAGAAAATTTGACTTGAGAGTGTGTACCAAGTCGTATCTATCGTTTTAAACGAGCTGAAAGTATCAAAATGGGTTTGGAAAACGCTTGAATGAGTAATTGACAAAGATTTTGAGAAAAAAAGAAAGAAGAAAAACAGGTCAATTTATTATACTGGGTCTTCCAAGCTTAAATATATGCTTATCTTCATCCCAATTTGAGCGAGTCAAATGACAAAAAAAAAAAAAATAGTACCAGCCCAATTCCCCCACAAAATAAAACTAATAAAATAAAAAATAAATGAATAGTCGCTCGTAGTTGTCTTTGATGTTGAAGTGACAGTCAGCATATCTAAAATTACTTACAAGTCAGAACGAAATGTTTTCTTTTATATATGTGTATATATATATATATATATATATTAAATATTCTGATTCTCAGTATTTGGAAAACTAAGTTGATGTTTGGAAAACGTTTTGTTTTAGTTTTTTATTTAAATTTGGGAGGAGATTTAAAATGTAGTTTAGTGACAGTTTTGGGAAAGTATTATAGTATAGTAACCATTTTTTAATGTGGCACAATTTAGCGATCAAACTTAAAACTTTACAATAGTTTAGCGATCAAACTTAAAATTTTACAATAGTTTAGTGACCATCCCCACTAAACTTTATAATAGTTTAAAAGATAAATTAAATTGATGTTTGGATAGTGTATTGGAATTTGTGTTTAAGAGGTAAAATGGGACAAAAAGAAAAATGAAACGACAAACAAACAAGGCATATTCAATGTTAGTGCAAAAAATTTTGATTTTTTTAACAGTACATTAGACATTTGATATCTGAATCCGTTATTTCGACTAATCGGATTCAAGTCGGGATCCTTTCAGAGACAATTTTTTTATTATACAGTGAATTAGAGTGGGTGCAAACTTGCTGCGTCAATCTGGTTGACGATTGCATTTCATCAATGTCAACAATTTTGGTTCAAGAAAAAATATGTTACTGGATCGAATGTTATGATAACCATAAATTTAGGCATACGTAATTTAATCAACATATATATACTGCGTATTTTGTTTTAGTTAGTGTTTGCATTTTTTCTATTATTTTCTCT